AAATAAGGAGAAAAGTAATAAAAATTTAATAAAACCACGCACTGTTTTCCAAGCTCGGTCTACTACCGTTGTATAAAAATTAGGATAAGCATGGAAGAATTCTACCATATCTTCTAAGAATTATAAGTTTAATTTTTAAATTATTTTCATATTCATTAAGTTCAAAATGCTGCTACTTCAGATCTTTAAAAATGCATTAAAAATTTATTCGTTTTTGGACTTGTATGTTTTGCTTCTAGACCGACGAAATATATATATATATCTACGGTAATATATTTATAATAATAAATATATGGTTATGAATATCATATATTTTTTAAATTTAATTGATTATTTCTAAATCTGTTTGGGTAATATTCAATTCCATTTTTAAAATTTCAAACAATAAAAGTTGCTATCTTCAGAAGTATATTTTTATTTCTTATTTCTGCAAGACGAATATCTGCTATCTCCCTATTGTGTCTGAAAAAAATGATGTAACACGAAATATTCAGTTATATTGTTTCTCAGCAAATAAAATTCTTATCTCTTTATCATATTAACACATGAAAATACTTCCTACATGTGTACATATTTTTTTGTACCGTTTTTTGCTCTCCTGTAAAATTAGGAATAATGGAGTTAGCAGTTTATCACATTTCACCGACGATATAAAATGACAGCGAGCTTCATTTCCCAGCCAACTGGACGCCGTTTTTTCTCGATCATACGGTATTATTTTACATTATTGTAACATTTCTTAATTGAACATTAAAATCCGAGGGCTTATAAAAAATCCGCCCGGACCCAACCGGATGTAGTGAAAATCCAGACATGTCCGGATTAATCCGGACCTCTGGTAACCCTAGTCGCATAACAAAAACGGCAGGTAACCTCCATAGACACAGAAAGAATAATTAACGCTGTTTAATGTCTTTGGTATCCTTACAATTTCTAATAAGCTGTCAAGGTCATTGAAAAAAGCTAAAATCCGGGTATAATGGAACGTTTATTAGCCTTCTTCAAATATATACTATATCAACTAGTGACCATAAAAGAATATCATTTTAAGTATATCAGAATATTCATGAATCCTTTAAAAATAAACACCATTTTTTAACATTTTATAGTTTGTCAACAAATAAAGTCGGCGTCCAAAAAACCATAATTAGTCATGTTTTATTTTATAATTTTGTATGTATAAATAGTAAGGGAGCTCAAGCCAGAATTTTGGAATTACTCAATAACATAAGGGGACAAACCTTACACGCCGTTTCGCGAAAAAAACTCATAGACGTGTTTCTAGAGTCGAAATATACAACTCCCTAAAATATTTGCACTCACTTAAGACTCACCCTGTAGTATTTTATTAAATTATCCAGGATTTTTCTTCACATTTTTTTAAATTTAAATATTTCACTCCTATTTATGCAATTCCTAAACGCTTTGGCGAAAATGAACATATAGGGTAAGTCCGGTACAGATGCCCCACCCGGTGAGATGGCCACAGCGTGTAAATTTATAATCATGTGACTTATAAGTTGCTTCTCGCTAGATACGGCAGTAGTTCAACTGCTGCTATTATGGTCTGACATAATTTAAATGTCAATAAAAAAATAGGCTAGTTTTTATAAAGAACTGTTTTTATATAAGAATATATTTTTTTGCTGTCAGAGGTCGCGTGGGAATAACGTAATATTATGTCAGTTTTTGGTATTTCATGCCATTTTATATTAAAATACATGCTTCGTGAAGTATCATAACTTCAAAAAATTACTCATATGTCGCTGCATTTTAAAACCTTGCGGTGGGGCATCTAGATGCCACATAGAAAGCTGGTAAAGATGCCCTACTAATTTATTTACTAAAAGTAACTTTTTTTAATCATGCCTACTGAATATAAAATAAAATGTCTCGAAAGCGCTCAATGGTATGAAAAATAATTAGCTGCTGCCTTGCAAGTCCTTAATACCGACCAAATGGGCATAAAAGCATAAAGCATGCTTTTGGAATCTCTGCAAGGACTTTGAGACGTAGGGAGGCAAACAACAACACAGAAAAAGCAAGCATAGGGTCATCCTCAACTTTTGGATAATAGTTAAAAAAATAAAAAATAACCTTAGATCTTTAACTAATATGTATATGTATTTTTTTGCGGGGCATTTCTACCAAGTTGGAAGGCCATCTCTCCCGCAACGTAGGGAGAGATGGCCAATTTTCTTTTTTTTATTGTTCTCTTACTATTATATATACTTACTTATTATATTATTATCTTAGTCCTATTATGAATTATTATTAAAGATAGTTTAGGATTGCATCATCAGTTTCATTTAAAATTAACTACCAATATGTATTATTAGCCCCAAAAGAAGAGTGGGGCATCTCTACCGGACTTACCCTATACAAGGTTGTTCACCACATACGACGCGGAGTATTGTAGCTAAACAATTAGATTTTTACAAATTGTAAGTTTTGGGTTCGTTGAAGGATTATTAAAGCTACAATTTAAAAATATTTTTACCAGATACAGAATGTCCCAAATAAATAAACAATATCAAAGTTGTATTTTTTTAAATGGAACATCCTGTATATTATTACATTTTTAGTCTCGACGACTAAAATAAAGGTAAATTTGATTAAGGTTTACCGCATTTTAATCTTACCGTCTCTAAAATATTTAGATTTTTTTCAAAATACAGTAATAATTTTAATGCTTCATTTCTCTAGGCTTATTTAAATGTTTAAAACCAAATATTGTACTGAAGTATTTCTATTTACCAAATTTTGCGTTACAATAATAAAAATTATATTACCTTATACAGAGTGTCTAAAAATTTATTTTAAATAATTACTAGCTTTAAACTTTAAACGGCAATAACTTGTTTGGTCTAATATGAACACCCTGTATATTTTATGAGAATCAGATGCACAATTTAATTTTCTATCAAATTGCATTATACCATTTTTTACCTATCTCTTCAAATTTTCGTAGAAAATGCATTTTCTTATAATTTAGACCTCATTTATCAATATACCCATGGAATATTGACATTTTAGATTATTTTCAAAGATATAAGAATTTTTTAAAGAGTACAGCTACTAATGTTGTCGATTTATTTCATTAAAAAAGTTTAAATATTTGTTAAAGAGAAAAAAATTAATATGATTCCAGTATTCAAACTATGTTAATTTACTGTTTGCGTTGATTAATAATAATTGCTCCAAATACTAAAAAACCGAATATTGTATGTGTATTAGACAGTGTGGTTAAAACTACCCCCTTATAAATTTTATTTCATGAATGCTTATTTATAACACCAGTGACGTTCATTTTCATAACTTATTATTATATTGATTTCTGATTTAAATCCATATTTATTTAGAATAATTTATTAACTAACACAATTAAGTATGTAATTAATTAATATTTGGACGGAAATAATGGTGGTATATTTAATTAATGGTATACTCTTTTATAAAGACTTAAATAGTTTTCTTTTTGTATACAAATGGACTAGTAATATTATCGTTTTTAGCACCTATAAATTTTGTACATTTATTGCTCTAAAAACAATCTAAAATGTCAATATACCATGGGTATATTGATATGAGGTCTAAATTATAAGAAAATACATTTTCTACCAAAACTTGAAGGGATAGGTAAAAAATGGTATAATATAATTTGATAGACAATTAAATTGTTCATCTGATTCTCCTAAAATATACAGGGTGTTTGGTTAGGTTAGGTTAGGTTGTAAAATTGAACAGGTATTGCCGTTAAAATCTAGAAATTATTTAAAATAAATTTTTAGACACTCTGTATGAGGTAGTATTTTTTTATTATTGCAACACAATAACTGATCAATAAATAAACTTCAGTAAATATTTAGTATTAAAAGCTTTGATACCCTTGGAGAAATAAAGCCCTAAAAATTTTACTGCAATTTCACAAAATTGAAAATATTTCAAAAACGGTAAGGTTTAAGTGTGATAAACCTTAATCAAATTTACCTTTATTTTAATCGTAGAAACTAAAAATGTAATAATATACAGGGTGTTCCGTTAAAAAAAAATACAACATTGATATTTTTTATTTATTTGGAATACTCTGTATCTTGTAAAAATATTTTTAAATTGTAGCTCTAATAGTCCTTCAGCGAACCCAAAACAACAATACAATTTGTAAAAATCTGATCGTTTAGCTACAATATTCTTTGTCGTATGTGGTGAACGGTTGTTTTGTATATTTATTTAATAATCTTTCTAGAAGGTATAATAGAAAAAAAAACCGGTGTCATATTGGCTTCAAAACGACGATCGATGACATTTGTTGCATAATTTTTTATATAAAATGACAGATATCCTCAATTCCCGTCTATTTTCAATTGTATGTTATACCGGGTGCATCTCAAAAGTGGCTCACCCCTATAACTTATTTAATTTTTCAGATAAAAAACGAGATTTGGTATGTCAATATGACATATCGTATTGACATAATTTCTGACATAAATTAGGATTGATTGACGTATTCAATTGTTTTTTGTCATTTCCTGTTTCACCGGAAATAATTACAACTTTTGATTTTTAAATGACACCATCGGTATTTTTTTACTTTATTCGATAGAAAATGACGCTCTCGATAGAATGACATATCATATGCCAATGTTTGACATTTTGGCATATGGTTTATTTGAGCTACAGATGCACGAGTCACTAGTGCCGGACCTTGTATACTCGTATCAGTATTACCGAAGATGTGTTTAAAAATGACCATAAAAATATGCAAATTCGCATTTTTTAATATTAGCAAAGTCGATATGGCTATTGTAAAATTCTCGCGTCCTCCCAATAAACCAATAAATCGTCTTCCGCTCTTGACACATGACAATAATTCCAAAACTGGTTTTTTCCCAAATTTGACTTTTTCGGCCGCAGAAGCTCATTTAAATTAAAAAAAAAAATTTGGAACCAACAAACGGGTCGTAATGATGATCAAACTTATAAATTAGCATCGAATTAAAACAATTTCGCCATTCTGTTCGAAAAAATCGTCCGGTTAACAACAATGATATTGCTGAATTGTGCTTTGTTTGTTTTCGGTTGTTTGTTGTCTTCGACTGTGGCACAGAAGAAATTTAAATCAAAACACCTGCGTAAGTCAAATACCATATTCTAAATAAATATCCCCTAATTGAGGGAATATAAGGCACGTATTCTCATATTAGTCTTATTACACAGGGTGATCCGAACTGTATTCCGGAAACTTCGGCAACATATTCTGCAGATAAAAATGAGTAAAAAAGTTTATATAAATGTATATCCTAAAATTACTAGTTTCACATATACCGGGTGTTGCATCGTCGAGCGGGACATAGGAAAGCCCATGTAAATTTTAATGGGGTCAATTATTGGCTTCCCTAATTATTTTAGAGAATAATTCTCCTTAGGTTTATTGAAGAGCACTAAAACCCACATTCAAAAGAATAACTTTAGATATTTTTGATTAGCCCGTTTACGAGTTATCGCCGATTTATTTTTAAATATTTCTCCTTTCTTATGGCCCTATATTTACTTATGAGCACCAGTCAAGATATGATTGAAAGAGCAAACACGGATAGGGATAGGAAACAAGGACACCACAGACCACAGAAAGTAAATGTTTGGGCAGGGATATTCGGACGTAATATTATCCGGCCATTATTTCTTACGCGAAATTTAAATGCAGAATATTATTTGGAACTACTCGAAAATCATATTTTACCTGCTTTACATGATGCCGCTAGGGAAAATCAGGAAGTTTGGTACCAAATTGATGGCTGCCCGGCACATAGTACCTTGGCTGTTCGAGAATATTTAGACAATAGTTTTAACGGAAACGTTATTGGCCTAAATTATACAGTAAATTGGCCAGCAAGGTCTCCTGATATTTCGCCAAATGATTTCTTTCTCTGGGGCCATTTAAAAAACAGAATTTACAAGGATAAAAAATACCCCAATCTAGACGAGTTAAAAAATGTTATTCTGCCGAATGCAATAGAATTTCAGTTTACCAACTAGCGAATGTAAGAAGAGAATTTTATGATCGCCTGGGTTATTGTCTAGCAGTCGATGGGGGAATATTTGAACATCTTCTTAAATCCTAAAATTCTAACAATTTAGTAGTACCTAAATTAAAAATTTATTGAATATTGAAATAATACTATAATTAACCTTGTAATTGATTACTTTATTTTACTTTAATTCATATTAATTTGTATTTATAAATACATCTTTAAGATTTTCGATGTAGGAATAAGTTTTCAATAATAAAAAAGCACTAAATAGGTAAATTTCTGAAATGACAACTTCATTTGACAGTTATCTTTTACTTTGACTGTTGCTCATAAGTAAATACAGGGCCATAAGAAAGGAGAAATATATAAAAAGAAATCGGCGATAACTCGTAAACGAGCTAATCAAAGATATCTAAAGTTATTCTTTTAGATATGGATTTTAGTGCTCTTCGATAAACCTAAATAGAATAATTATTCTCTAAAATAATTAGAGAAGCAATAATTGACCCCATTAAAATTTACATGGGATTTCCTATGTCCCGTCCGACGATGCACCACCCGGTATACCTCTGTGGCAGATTCATCTCTTCAGAAAAGTCCTATGGGTATTTCGCCACGGTAAGGAATTCTACAAAATAAAATAGTTATTTTCGGTAAACACGGTTTTTTAAGCATTTTTTTGGTAACGGACAAAAAAATGCTTAACGTTTCGGGAAGTATATAGTAGCCTTTCAACAGATACGTCTATATATTTTTTTTAAATATAGTTAATATTATATATTATATTATATATATAATTATTTTTTTTAATATTCTTTCAAAACGTCAACGGTTTTTAGAAACATTATCTACAATCTAGAAACATAGATTTAGTATTATTGTTTGCTATTTCAAAGGCCACTGCTACATCTTTTTTTTTTAATATTATGCCTTATTGTAATAAAATAAATAAACAACTGATGAATTTTGTTTAATTTTCAGCAAATTATATATCACCCTGTCGACTATCGTCCGATCTGTCGGATTGCATTGTGAAGCATGCTGTTGCAAGCATTCCACACATATCGAAAGGTAAGTATATTATAGAAATATTTTATTATTCTCCAAGCATTTAAAAGTAAACACTGTAATTTTCTCGAAAAATTTGCCATTGTAAACAATTTTTTTTCGAAGTGTTTCTTAAGGTTTTTTTAATATTCTCTCTATTTTAATGGAAAGGTACACAAACGTGTGCCGAATTAGTAAAAAAAGCGTTTTTTTTTTACAAAAAAACTGACCTCGATTAACAACAACAGTGTATTTATAAACAGGTCAATTAATACAATAGTAACCTGGCAACAAACAAAGTTCCTACCAGCTTTGATGCACAAATACCGGAAGATTAATAAATGCAACATTTGTGTGAGTTTAAAATGGGACTAAACATCCTAAATTCAGAAAGAAATAAAATTATCTATGTACCACGGAAATTATGAAGTGTTAATAACCTCGGGCAATGATTGTTCCTTGGGCCATAGGCCCTCGGAACAGAAACTTTGTCCTCGGTAATTAACATCCTCAGAAGATTGTATATGTAAATTTCATGGTCAGTGTCATCGACTATTATTTCAACGCTAATGAAACGATTTTTAGCAAAAAATTATATATAAATCATTGTACCTATTTTTTAATAACTGCAGCTTTATTGTTAGGCACTTAAATGTATTCAAGAAGAATTTATATATTATAAAATTATATTTTCCAAACTAATGTCTCTCAAAATCGATCGATGCTAAGTGGACATTTTTTTTACGAATTTATATTTTTTCAATAAATTAACATTTATTATACATTTTTGTAGAAACTAAAATAATTTAAAGTATTGTTATGGACCTTCAGTTTATATGCAAATTACCCATGTAAATTATGGCGAGAACAAACAGCAAAAGTAGAATTAAAATTATGAGTTTTTTTAACACAGGGTACAATCCATGTAATATAATTTACAATGAGGTAGATTGTTCATAGAAGAAAGTAATTAACAGTAGTAATTATTTTCTAGTTTGATCAAATGGACTTCAAAAATATATATATGTAGCTTCCGTAAGCAATGCATTAGCAGCATACTATTAGAAATCAATATAAGATGTTGGAACTTAATCATTAATATAACCATTCGAAAAACAAACAATTTTATAATCACACTGTTTCTTCACTTCTATCATGGTAACATAAGATAAGGCAGCTATTTTTTAAACTAATTATGTGTTTAGATTTATTATTGTAACTAACAATGATAATAAAATATTTTTAGGAGACCCAGAATTTGGCAGTCCGAGCTTAAACCCATGGGTACTGGAAAAACTTGAATTGAATCCAAGCAGCCAACTGAAAATCCTTTTTACAAATTGTGAAATATATGGTTTAAATCGTGCCATTTTAAAAGATGCGAAGTAAGTGTTTACTGAAAATCAGCCAAGTAAAGATTAATGGGTATTTTACTCCGAATATTTTTACTCCTAATAGAACATGCTATTTTTTTAAAACGCCACAAATAAGTTTTTAAACAATTTCAAACGTTCTAAATATAAGTATTATTAGGGGTTTTCGGAAATAAAATCCTAGATTAGGTAGTTTACTAATCAGCTGTTCCAAGATCAGTGCTGAGAGTAATCAGCTGGTAGTTTAATTACGAACGGTTGGATCATTAGATTTACCGGGTTAACAATCACATTTAAATATATTTCGTAAAAAGAGATAAATTAAACAAATAATCCTAATATCCCTCTTTAACGATTGTATAAGACCTATTTTTATCCTCTTTGTTTTGCTTTAAGTATACTTTTTAGTTTCTGTAAGACTTCTGTAAATTTTTATAAAAACAAAATGTGTTTTATTTTAGGCTTTTTTAAAATTATGCCATTTAAAACAAAAACACTATAAACTTTATTTTAATCATTTATTTACTGCCAACATAATAAACATTCCATCATATTAATAATAAAAAAATATATCAATTTTTATCTACCAATTGTGATGAAAATTTTCAGAATTGTCTATCAAGTTCCATTCTTTCATTATGCCTGGCTATTTTAATATAAATGTTTTAAACCACTTTTCTGTAGTTGAGTTTTCATTTTTTTTCCTATTGGGTGTCTCCGATAGTGCTTTTTCGCAGTCAGCATCTTTAGAATTACTTGTTGGTTTTTTATTTATTTAAAATCTAGAGTTACTTGATGCTATGCTGATTGGCTCATTTTTACGGTCACTAACAAAATATCATGTATTTGACCAACATTAGATAAAGTGATTTCGGACAAAACGGTTATTAAAAAACTTGGTAATACCAAAAACTTTATACTTCTATGCGGACCGTTACGTTTAAAATTATCCTAGAAATGATCAGCTGATTAATTCTACCCACCTCATTAGGAGGGTTAGTAGGATCACAACATATGGCAAAAGTCGAGTTATTCGGATCACTTTCCGAACGCATTGACTCGTTTTGAGATCACTTTTCGAACGTCTGGATTAGTAATCCTATCAATCCCATCAATCAGATCACAGTTTCCGAAAAGCCCTATTGCCTGGTATACAGGGTGGTCCAAACTGTATTCCGGAAACTTCGGCAGCATATTCTGCAGATAAAAATAAGTAAAAAAGTTCGTATAAATGTGTGTCCTAAAATGCCTAGTTTCAGAGATACAGGGTGTAGAAGTTTCATTTTTATTTCGATTTTTTCCAAATAATTTCTGAAGTATCGTCAATATTTGGATTAAAATTGGTGTCTCGGAGTTTTTTGACATGAAAAATTTGATTTTGATGTCAATAGGACTCCTACTAGTAGAGGGCGCCACCTACATGTGTTTTAACTGTTTTGAAGCGTAACAACTTTTTGTCCGTATCTGTATAAAACTACCGAGAGAAAAAATATACATCTCTGTGACTTTTTTCGTAAAAATACCTATTTGTAAAAATACGCTACGAGCAACAGTTCTCAAGATATTTAGAATGGAAATAATCAATACATTTCATTATTGACGAAAAATAAACACGTTGAATAGATAGTTTTCACTCAAATAATAAATTTGGGAAATTATTTTTCTGTCATTTATTACGTAAAAAATGTATCTTGGTAAAAATCGATAGGAGCAACTTTTTCAAGATATTTATAATGGAAATATTCAATACATGTCATTACTGACAAAAAATGAACATGTTGACTAGATAGTTATTCGAATGAAGTGTTAAATTTGGTAAAAATTAAATGTCCAATTATATGACTAACTTAAAACTAATAGGCTTATTAACATCGGTATACATTTTATGGAATTTTAATGAAATTTACGATAAATATTTTTTGTATTATATTAAAAAATATCTCATACATATTTATAATTAATTTCCAATGCTCATAATTATAATGGGCATTAATAATAATGGGCATAATAATCTTAGCATTGTAAATAAAGCCTAATTCTATGGTTAAATTTATATAAAATACACTCGAGAAATTTTTCGTTAAATTTAAAGTCTTATATTTTTGTTATTTTTAACCCTTTTTTTAGTAAGGTGTATATAATTATATCAACTTTATTTCCTAAACTCAGTTATTTATAAACTTTAGTATTTGGCATATTACACAGGGTTAATCGAGACCCTAACTTTAAAACACCCTGTGCAATAATTTTGTTTAAAATTATGTAAAATTAAATTTTCCTAAAGTATATAGGTATTAATTTTTAAGAGCGAAGTGAACTGATCACAATCAATTTGCAATTTTTAATTGTTTAATTGTCAATCAGTTAGGTATAATTTCTTTTTGATGTATTTTTTTTAATATGACGAGATGGTTTTAGTGACTATTGTCGTAACGTCATATTACACTGTATTCGATACTCTATACTAAATTAAAAAAAAAAAAAGTTAAAGACTAACGATACAGCCCTGGTTTTAATAAATATTAATAACAATAACAGAACCAACGATGTTAAAGAAAACATCTGTAATACTCAAGTATACAAACAAAAAAAAATTGTAAAAGTACTCTAATACTTTGTATTGTCTCTTTGGATGCTATAACTGCCTGTATATCTCCGTTCATATAAGGCTGCAATATTATATTGCGTTATGTTTTCCCATTCCTCTTTAAGGACCAAGCGAAGTTCATTTAATGAAGCTGGTACCGCTTTGCGACCTCCAACCCTCCTGCCAAGCATTTCCCAAACGTCGAACATTATGGGCAGTTCATAGTAGTATATAGTTCACAATAGTCACCAAAGCCGCCTTGTCATATTAAAAAATAGCTTCAAAAAGAAATGATAATTGAAGAAATTGCAAATTGTTTGTGGCAAGTTCATTTCGCTCTTAAAAATCATCGAATGCATGTATTGACATGATCTAAAGAACAAAATACCGTCAGATTGGCTTAACTCAACATTCGTAACCCTGCCAAAGAAACCCAACGCCTCACAATGTGATGACTATCAGATGATAAGTCTTATGTCCCATGTCCTCAAAACCTTTCTTAGAATCATCCACACTCGAATCTACAAGAAGTGCGAAAATCAGATGGACAACACCCAGTTTGGCTTCAGAAACGGACTCGGAACGCGTGAAGCACTCTTCTCCCTAAATGTAATGACACAGAGGTGTAGAGACATGAATGTGAATGTATTTGCATGCTTCATAGACTATCGTAAGGCGTTCGACTGTGTTAATCATCAGAAGATGATCAAAATTCTAAGAACAACCGGAGTTGACGAACAAGACCTACGTTTCATATCAGAACTTTATTGGCACCAAACGGCGGTAGTTGAGATGAAGCAGTCAACATCGGAAGATATACAAATCAGACGGGGTGTTCGGCAGGGTTGCGTCTTGTCTCCGCTCCTGTTTAACCTGTACTCGGAGACTATATTTAGAGAAGCACTGGATCGAATTCAGGGCGGAATCAAGTTCAATGGAATCCCAATGAACAATATCAGATATGCCGATGATACGGTTATAATAGACAACGATATACAAGAACTGCAAAGCATTATAGATTCCGTAGTCCACTATAGTGAGATGTTTGGACTGCATCTCAATGTCTCCAAGACCAAACTATTGGTCTTTTCTAAGACTCCAACAAATGCACACCTGCGCGTCAAGGGACAAACAATCGAACAAGTGACCTGAATAAAGTATTTAGGAGCTAACATCAATAGTCAGTGCGACCCGAAAAGAGAAATATTTTCAAGAATTGAGCAAGCGAGAAAAATCTTCGTGAGAATGAAATCATTTTTTACAAGAAGAGACCTCAGTGCGGATCTCAGAACTCGAATGGCCAGATGCTACGTCTTCTCTGTGTTACTCTATGGATGTGAGAGCTGGACACTGGATTCACAGACCGAGAAGAGAATAGAAGCCTTCGAAATGTATATATACAGACGGATGCTGCGAATCTCATGGGTACAAAGGATCACCAACAATGAAGTACTCCAGCGCATGCAGAAACAAAAAGAGATACTGAACACCATCAAGGAAAGAAAAATGCAATACCTGGGTCATGTGATGAGAGGTGGTAGATACGAAACACTGCGCCTCATAATAGAGGGCAAAGTGCAAGGGAAAAGATCAGTAGGAAGACGCCAGAACTCATGGCTAAAAGATTTGAGGAGATGGTTTGAACGCTCGTCTGCGGAAATCTTCCGGGCTGCAGTTTCCAAAGCCACAATTGCCATTTGGATCGCCAACCTTTGGCAGGAGAGGGCGTGATAAGAAGAAGAAGAAACAAAATGCTAAGGAGACATGGTTCTGACCGTAAAATAATTATATTTTAGGGAAATTTCTAAATTATATTTAGAAAACCAACCCCTCGATTAACCCTCTATAATATACCAACTACTAAAGTTTATAAAAAACTGGGTTTGTAAATTAAAGTTGACATAATTATATACAGTTTGCTAAAAAAATATGAAAATAGGGCTAAAAACAACAAAAATATGACACTTTAAATTTGACCAAAATTTTCTCCGTTGCGTTTTTTTTGCATCTGAGTGTATATTACATTTTTCAGGATCGACTTTGATAAGAAACGCGTTGATATAGTAGTTTATGTTGAACAAATAAAACTTGAGTCTCATTACAACATGGATGGACAGATTTTAGTATTACCTATTAAAGGAGATGGAAAGACCAACTTGGAGTTTGGTATGTATCGTTTAATGATATAATTTGTGTATATTTCCTATAATAAACGTTATTTTACGCCAATGACATTGACTTATAAGTTATTTTGCAATTTCTTTTTCAATGCAGATTGCAAAATATTTCCAATGAACAATGTCACTCGAAAACTCGTTTCAATAGGACGAAATCTGTTAAGAGATTTGCGAAGTCAAGGGAATCTGAAACCAAGGACGTGTTGATAATCTTAATTTTTGTAGTCTCTGTATTTTTTTCGAAATTTTGTATCTCACACATTCTCGATAAATCGGCATTGACATTTTTTTGACAATTGTAGAGGGTGAATCAACGATAAAGTCCATTATCTCACTTGTTTTAATGTTTACAAAAATAGTTAAATATACAAGTTATAGGAAAGATTAAGATACACATTTTCAAATTATTATAGAGTATACAGGTTGCTTCAAAAAAGTGGGGCGGATATAACATACGATTTTTTAAATGTAACACCCTATTTTATATTTTATTTTTAGATTTTGCGTCAAATTCTATAACTTCTTTACATAATAATATACCTAAAATTAACAGTTTTTGTAATATTTCAATTTGTTTAAACAAATATTAGATTGCAGTGGGGTAAAAAATGGTTAGTGATGTTATTGTTTCTGAAGTTGGACTACTAAAATTTGGTAGGAGACTTTTACAGAGATGCACAAAAAGATATACGAATTATATAAGATATTTTAATTAGTTGCTACAGGGTGTTCAAAATATATTCATGAATTTCAACTAATTAAAATTCAAAAATCTCATTTTTTTTTAAATGGCACACGCTATACATATATAATGAATATTATCATTTTTTCTGGTAGATTTTACAAAATTCTTGAACTTTTATAAGGTATATCATATATCTAATTTTAATAGTTTGCGACTTATTCTGAATTTTTTAATTTTGAACATTTTCAATTCATTAATGCTAAAACATCATAGTTGTCATGACAAAACAAAAATATTTATTATTAATCATTAACAAGTAGTTTAGCAATTACTTACACTTGATATTAGATTATATTCATTAACTTTACTTAAATAAACTAAAATCACAGTCGCTAAATTCTTGGTGTATTTCTGTATTATGAAAGATGACATGGATTTTCCCTTGGGGCGAATAGCCATAGATTAGGATAATACTAGATTACCTAGTTGTTGACGACTACTGCTATAGGAATTTTCTGCGACATAAAGGTTTTTCCTCTCCTAGCAATTCTGATTTATTATTCATTTCGCAAAGCCAATATTACTACTGCCTCAAAACCGTCCCATTACGCACTGAAACTATTTTCTAGATAATCTACATCTATTCTATATAATCTATAGTACTCACTCTAAATATAATATATAGTACTCACTCAAAAAATATTTTTTCTTAGCTTGTTCGTGTACATCAGTTACATTAACTATTTTATTTTCAGGAATATCTGTAACTATTATCTCTACCTCTACACTTATTACAACAAATTAAACTAAAATTCAAGTTTTGTTCTTAACTTGCTGAACAGACATCAAATTTTGATAATTATTACATTTTGTCTTGGTAACTATGATGTTATAGCGTAATTATTGTATTAAAAATATGGGTAAAAATAGAAAAAAAATTGGAATAAATCGCAAATTATTAAAAATAGGTATATGACATACTTAATAGGAGTTGAAGAGTTTTGTAAAATCTGGCTAAAACCAGAAAAATATATAATACATAGGGTGTACCATTTAATAAAATTGATTTTTGTTAAAAATTTTGGGCAATACTGTATATAAACATTTTCTAATAATGCATATTTTTTTAGGTGATTGTACATTCAACTATTCTGTGGATTACGATCTGATAACAAGAAAAGATGGCAAGCAATATGCTGCAAATATTAGACCCGATATATCTTTCAAAATAAACAAAGCACATTTTAATTTCGAAAACCTGTTCAATGGCAATAAACAGCTAGGTAAGTAAAATGCAAATTCAAAAATGAATTTTCATTGAACAAAACTATAGACTATTCGACTAGTCAGACAAGAATTTCAGAGAACTTGAAAGTTTGAACATGAAAGAATATTGAAGAACATGAAAGTATAAAGCACGGGTACTCAAAAATAGGGGTCGACAGGACAAGAATTCTTGTCTTGATGACAACTTCTTGTCTTGTGTTGAAAAAAAATCAACTCAACCAAACTTACAAAAATCTTGTCTTGTCGTTTCATATCTTGTTTTGACTCAATAAACTTCAAGATCTTGAAATTTCTAAAAGATCTTGATGTTTCTTGGTTAACCGGTAATTCCCCATCGAAATCCTTATTGCGTTGCTTGCTAACACTGAATCTGGTGGTTTTTAGTCTTTTATTTGTTTTTTTTAACATGGCATTGCACTTCGCACGATAGTACGAGTGAGCTTTAGCCCTTTCAGCTGAGCAAGATTATTTTTACAAAGCCATAGTCTCTATCATTTTTGTTATACTTGCAATGCCAGGTTGTAAATAATGGTCGTAAAAAGTATATTATATTAATTCAAATTATCTCTTATTTTACCATGATGATGGGGTTCTTAAGTAGAAATCTGATCAAATTGGCTCCAATTTCGGTTCTAAATATTTACAAACAAGCAATAAACAGAAACGTAAGCGTAAGGATTTTTGTAAATATTGTAACAGTCAAATTTCCTCGCAACGACCTCTGTGTGCTAGCTCATAAAATATCGCAAATAGCTATTATTTTTGCATCATGTTTACTATAATTTTATTGTTAAATATTATTTTATTTAAATTTTACAATTATGCAACCCGATATACACCGCGCTATAGAGCCACAGAATATTGTCACTGGATGCCGCCCAGCATTAGAATTTTTGTCCATCTCTCTATATCTTTGGTCATCGCTTGTCCCTTGTCACTGTCAGATCAAATCAGATGTTTTCGGATTTATTTCTTTGTTTTGGTTATTGAAATTTTATAATTATCAGATAAAATTTCGTAGTTAAATTGGTTATTTTTGATGTGGATCGCGGTGTGCAATTCGTTCATTTAATTGTGGGAATTTGTGAGTTTAGTTCGTTCATTGACCGGATATCGAAGATGGCTGTGAAAATAATCTAGAACATCGTTTTTTATTTATGCCTTTTTGTGAGTTGGACTAGTCAAGATATATAGTTCTCTATCTATACCCTGGAGGGAGATTTCCGGTTGAAATCTGATTTTGTGAAGGAAATCGAATCCTTGCATCACTTCTTGTGTATCCACCGACCGAAGTGTATCGTCGTGAAGAACTGGCTGCCGTTCCGTGAAGCATTCCCTGTTGGTGATTAGCAGGTCTTCCTAGTGAAGGATTAAGTCTTCCGGAACACATTTGGTCAGAGCGTGGTTGTATTTTGTGGGATTTACATGGACCGCCGACCAATTTCCGTAATGGGATTAAAATAGCCTTTTTCCGACCGATATTCCGATTGCACGTGCCCAAGAAGTCCCCGAACAGTTCCAAGAGCAAGAAGACCGATCCAGACCGTAGCACAGAACAGTCCAGAATTCCATCCGTTCCTGTTGCCCGTGTGTAGAGTTACCCGTTGGACATCATAAACCCTCGTTGAGAGTTTTTTATGTTCACCATTTGAAATCTCAACACCTACCTTTCACCTGTACCTCTGCTGACATCCGTGGGCTCCAGTGACAGTACACCGAGCTGCTGTGCACCGCCATAGCCACCCTGTAGCTATACGCCGTAGCTCAGCCGGAGGAACTTCCGAGTTGTTTTCAAGTATATCACATCGAGTAGAGTAAGACTGTTTAGATTTTAGTTAGGTTTAGTTTGATATTTGTATTCCGCCCTTAGAGCATACTTAGTTTAAGTTAAGGGGGATGACGTCATAGATTTAGTTTTTATTGACTTAAATTCTGACTTAATATATTTCAATCATTTTACTTTTATTCATTTCCATTTCTTTAAATATTAACTTTTAATATTTTAATAAATTACTTAAACATTTTTAGTAGTATTATTTGCAGTCTAGTCTCATAGTTAAGTTAGAGTCACTTAAGTTTAACGAATTACAGTAATATTTGAAGTTCATGGTAGTTGCACTCAACAGTTCGAGGTTAGTGTTGAAGTCTACTTAATAGTAACATCTTTTATGCCGAGTTCATAGAGTATAATCTCGTGGCGCCCTTTTATTAAGATCTTTGAACCCCGACCACCCGGCTGTTAAAATTAAAAAGCTAGTGGCCTCTATGTAACTCATTCAGATTAAGTAAACTTTGTGTTTGATTGAACCTCAAATTAGAAAGGGCGTGGCAAGATGACAAGTGAGGGAAAAGCAGCAGCAAAAGACAGCAAAGGGAAAAGCAGCAGCATTCGTCAATCCAGGATAGTAGCACTAGCGGCAGTACTAGTAGAAAAAAAAACTAGCGATTTTCTTCGAAATTGTGGATCCCGGTGCCAAAAACAAAAATTATAAATTACCCTAATGTATACCATGTTTTCAAAAGCATAACAAAAGTGTTTACATAAAAATCAATAATTCCGGATACTGAAATATAATCATAAAATTAACTGGATATACTATATAGTTCTTATGTTGGGCCCCCCTCCCTTTGAAGAAGTAATTTGAACTAGTTATTTTTATAGATTCGAAAATAATCGAAAAATCCAATACCAGTAACAGCACCGACTCTTGAAAAAGAAGATAATAAGTAATTCGATAATAGAATTCTATTTAAGATAAGCTAAAAATTATAATTCTAGCTAAGCCTATATTTTAAATAGGTTAGGTTAGGCTTTAAATTCCATGTATTATGTGACAAAATTTTTCGCAAATAAATGCGTTTAAGCGTTTTCATTGTCAAGGTATTTCAAGATTTCTTGATTTATTGACAGCAAATTTTGGTATTGACTTAATATTTCCTGTGTCTTGTCTTGAAGTTTATGATTACTCTTCTTGTCTTGATAGTGTCTTGAAATCAAGAAAAGAACTTGAAATTTTCAAAAACTACCGTCCCTACTGAAAAATAAGCGAAGTCGGCTGGCTGTCTAATAAACAGTATGTGATGTGAATATAAATAGAAAAAAATCTTAATATTCACAAACGGGTAAAAATTGAATAAACTGAATAATTTTATTTTTGTTTTCTATTTAACACTTATTCACATTAGCTTTTATTTTACTTAAAATTAACCATTCAATATTTACCATTTGAATTATATTATTACTTTTTTAGGTGACAACATCAACAAAGTATTAAACGACAATCCACAAGATGCCATCAATGAACTTGGTCCGGCATTTTCGAATGTTATAAATCTAGCAGCAACTACAATTATACGAGCATATCTATTGGTAGTCCCATTTGACGAACTATTTGTACATTAAATTCCGTGTGATTTTGTTATTTTTTTTATGTCTGTGTAGAGATAAATTTACATAAGGGCTTATCGTACTGTTGAAGTATTATTAATGTTTATAAGTGTAATTTAACAAGAATAAAACTGTAAAAATAAAGAACATTTTTGGTATTGCATTTTATATATCAGAGAGCAGTAAACTTCTTAATAGTTGTTAGAAAGAGATCAATTATTTATGGATAAAGAGCTGTACATTAGACAATTCGAGAGCAACCTCTTCTTTTATGTGATCCCGGTAGATCTCGATAAAAGTAACATATTTCTCCTTACTGTTTATCAAATAAGTCCAAAACAACCGAGTTATTCAAGTTTGAAAATGATTTATTTAAAAAAATTGAGAGCCACCGGATTTTCTCTGTATTTGCATCCCTTTTAGTGCCGAAACCATGGTAATATGAGAGATTAAGAAATTATACCGTGAAAAAATTTGCGGTGAACAGGCAGTTCTAGAAAGTTTTCTAAAATATACAGTAAATTTTAAAAGAAAATGCACGATTTTCAACATCTTTATTGCTAAAAGAACTCATAGACGTTTGTTCCTGAGGTCAAAATATCCCTAACACCTCTAAAATATTTGCACTTATTTGAGACTTGCCCTGCATATCAAATTTATATATAATCTATATACACGTCACTCTATGGGAAATAGACCAACAGAAACAATCCCAATCATGATTTATCAACAATATTTTATGTTACAACTTGACAACACAGAACAGATGCATATTGGAAAGCAACAACTGCATATTCCTCTCAAAAAATTATCATCGTATAAAAATGAAATTAACTTTAAACAATTTACTATAATTTGCAGAGTTTTAATTTTCTAATACATAGTTAAATGACTAAGCAGTAACAAGCAGTAATTTGTTCCCTTGGGCTCATTAACAAAATTAATTTCTATGTTTACCACAAAAAAACACAAAGTTATTAAATTTATAGAAATAAGTGTTAGACAGGGAGTCAAATTATGATTAAATTGATAAATTTAATCAACATGTGATTATTTTTATATCCTGTACAGGGTGGGCCAAATTGGACGATTTTAAATGGACACATCCTCATCTATAGGAGACAGACGAAAACTAATATCGGTGTTTGGAGCTCAATTTTTATCAAAAACATGACGGTGAAAACCGCAGGTCGATATCTTTTACTATTTCGAAGTTACATGGTGTTTTTCAAAAATGTGCATTTTTAACAAATCGCTATAACTTTTTTGGTATGGAAAATTTTGTATTTTTATGAAAATATTTCCAAAGCACCTTTTTACGTTGAATTTAATGGTTTAAGAATATATTTTTTTAAATAAATAATTTTAGAATTAACAACAGAAAATTTGATTTTCGATATGAGATACCCTGTATATTTTTAATTCATTGAAAATAATTTAAAATTACCTCTCCATAAATATGGCATACTTGATATTTTGCTCGATTCCTCTTCGAGATAGAGAGTCTTTAAAAATTCGCCCACTTTCATTAAGTAGGCTTTGGTTGTAATGCAAAAAAATTCTAGCTGTGAGCAGCAATTAAAACAAAAATAATATTTGCAATGAGAGATAAAGAATTTTATAACAATTTAAACTATATTTAACAACATCAAGACATTTAAACTATATCCAATAACAATAAAAATAAACAGCAAACCAAGACATGAGATTTTGCTACAGGTGTTCAACATGTCGGCCCTGGAGAAACAGACAGGGGTATAGGCACAGCAAGGCTTTTATCCAAGGACCTAGCTCTAAAACCGCAAAAGAACTGCTAATGCTTAGCAGGAATAAAGTGCGGATTACAACAGGTCTCTTGACAGGACACATGGCTGTCAAGTGTTACCTTAACAAGCTCAACCTGTATCAAGGAAGTCTTTGCTGCAGACTCTGCGATAAAGATCCTGAAACAGCGGAGTACATAATATTGTAAGAGTCTTGTCTTCCGTTAAAAAAATTGTTTATATTAAATTGTGTTATTTTAAGAAATAACATTTTATTTGAATCTCTAATTGACTTTTCTTGGCCGCATTACAATGGAAATTATAAATTGTCGTTTCCTAGACGATGCGGTTTGCATTGTTGATGATTATTTTGACTGACGTCGACATTTATCAAAAAATATTAAATTCAGATTATAATTGTGTGGAAAATATTTCTGGGACTGAATAGAAGGAATGAAGTATTAACAGGTGAGTGTATTTTGTTCACTCACGGGCATTACTGGGATTTGTATGAGAGTAGTTTAATATTATTCAGTTAACAGTTATTGAGCTTTAGTAGTAGATAGAGAAGGGTATTTTAGTATTACTTTTCTGTGTGTGTGTTTTATAGTAGACAAGTGTTTATCAAAGGGCATTTTAATATAGTTTAGTTAAAAGATAGATGTTTATCAAAGAGTGTTTTAGTGTTATTTATTATAGATACGTAATGGACAGCTATTTATCAAAGAGTATTTTAGTAATATTTATTGGGTGTGATTTGTAATACCTGGCAAATTATCAAATGGTATTTAGTATTATTATTTTGGAGTGTTTTATATTTTTACGTATGACCCAAATTGTTTAACAACAATATTAAGCTATGTCGCTTTGTGGCCATCCCTTTTGTGCGTGGGAAAGACGCCTTGTCGCTTAGCTGCGGAACAACAATATTAAGCTATGTCGCTTTGTGGCCATCCCTTTTGTGCGTGGGAAAGACGCCTTGTCGCTTAGCTGCGGAACAACAATATTATGCTATGTCGCTTTGTGGCCATCCCTTTGTGCGTGGGAAAGACGCCTTGTCGCTTAGCTGCGGAACAACAATATTAAGCTATGTCGCTTTGTGGCCATCCCTTTTGTGTGTGTGGGAAAGACGCCTTGTCGCTTAGCTGCGGAACAACAATATTATGCTATGTCGCTTTGTGGCCATCCCTTTTGTGCGTGGGAAAGACGCTTTGTCGCTTAGCTGCGGAACAACAATATTATCCTATGTCGCTTTGTGGCCATCCCTTTTGTGCGTGGGAAAGACGCTTTGTCGCTTAGCTGCGGAACAACAATATTAAGCTATGTCGCTTTGTGGCCATCGCTTTTGTGTGTATGAAAGACGCCTTGTCGCTTAGCTGCGGAACAACAATATTATGCTATGTCGCTTTGTGGCCATCCCTTTGTGTGTAGGAAAGACGCCTTGTCGCTTAGCTAGGAAACAACAAAAATATTTAACTATTTTATATACTCGATTATGGTGATGTGATCATGTGTATTTTCCAGTGATGCTCAAGTAAATTTTATTTTTATAGATTGCAAATTGCGTGATCAGAGAGTGAGTGTTTACACAAGAGTTTGAGTACACTAGTTCGATTACACAAGTGTCCCGGCATCTAAGGTGAGTTTAGCTTCTTTTGTTTATGTTGTTTGAATATTAAATTGATATTAATACCATTCATATATTATGCTATATAAACAAAAAAAAAATATTTTATTTTTCTTACTCGCTCTTACAATATGTCATTGCGAGGCTCTGGATCGCAAGCGACACTTTTATTTGGGAAAGCTAGGCTAGGCTATAGAACCGGAGGAACTATGCTCCCATCCTATCAAGGACCTGCATAAGGTAGTGCAGGGCACAGGGCTAGGAGAATGGGTGCAGATATAGAAAGGGGACAAACACAATAAGCCTCACAGTTCGTAGTGTTTCCGGCAAAGAACGGCCCCTTGTTATGAAAAAAAAACATGTCGGCCCTCTGCTCTTATGGACAGACGGGATCGTTTTTGAACATTTCTCGCGGAATTCATTAACTCAGTGGGGGTGAAAGATACCCTCGCATAATCGCGCTAAGTACTTCTAATTCTTGTCTAGATTATACGGGCAATATAAAAATAAGAACCTAAAAAAGAACGCTAAGATAATAATCCATCCAGGCGCTAAGTCCGGCGGCCTCGACGGCCGTTGGGATCATGGTTAGCTATAGCTTTGATTGAATATATTCAATTATTCTCGAAATTGGCTGCAAAAATTTGCTGACAACTTCAGCGTTCTGAGGCGGTGCCTCGTCTTGCTGGAAAAATATTTTTTGAGCTCCATTAGGAGCAGATCATCAATAAGGGATCCAAAGCCTACTAGTTAAAAGTGGCGAACTTTTAAAAATTCTGTATTTCGAAGGGGACTCTTAACAAAATATCAAGTGTGCTATATTTTTGGAAAGGCAATTTTAAGTCCTATTCATTTAATGAAAATTATACAGGGTGTCCCAAATAAGACATTGCTAAGTAGATATATTATGTTTCAATATAAATATTTTACCCTATTATTTTGAAGTTTTATATCCTTCTTCGAGGGGTGTCTCACTATTGGAATTACATGTACATTTTCTTGGCAGTCGCTGGCAGTCATTGGCAGTCTTATGGCAGTCGCCTATAATAATTACATGGCAGTCATAGGCAGTCTTCTTCGTAGTCATTGGCAGTCGCTTGACAGCGAAAGATTATTTTGGCAGTACGTGTACATTTTTTACCCGAGTGAGACACCCCTCGTCCTTCTTGTACTAATTGACACCAAAATCACCACATCGTAACTTCATAAAAATAACTAATAAGTCCAATTATAAAATTTCCGTTGTATTTTTTTATAAAAATTAGGTGCACTTTAACATGTCATCCCGATAAATTAGAACTAAATAACAACAATTATAACCCGTAATTAAGTTGATATTATATAGTGAGGAAGATCAGGGGGGCAACTATTTAAATTTGTTTACAATTTAATCAATTTTTCATTTTGCTTCATCTTGCCAGATTTGTTGGTGCTCTGTTGTAACATCCTATCCAAAACCAAACGATTTAAAAGTCGATATGTTTCCAAGTATTTTCTGTATTGGATTGTTTTTATTTAATATCCAGTTTATTAGTGGTGCCATTCGTAAGTGTTTATTTTAACTAGATTTTTTTTATATTAAGTTAGGGAATTGTCAAAAATAAAATTGTTGTAATAGAAGTTTATTAACTTATAAAAAGAGAAAAATACACCACTGGAAATAAAGTTTTGTTTTCAGATACTGTGTAAAAATCAAAATAAAACACTAAATCACCACAATACACCAAAACACTTTTACTTTTACAATGGACGCGCGTTTTACTAACCATGTTAGCATCATCAGCAGATGATTAAGACTCTTCACAGTCTTAATCGTCAGACAACACTCAGTCTTAATCATCTGCTGATTATGCTAACATGGTTAGCGAAACGCGCGTCTAGTGTAATAGTAAAAGTGTTTTGGTGTATTGTGGTGATTTAGTGTTTTATTTTACTGTGTAACACCAAAGGTTCCAACCCCAAACTGTAATTTAAGATACTGTATTCCAGAAAATTTTTTAAGAATTATTTTATGTCCAAATAATATCATAAAATGCTCTATTATGCAACTAATAAGAATTGAAATTCGCCAAAAAATTAAAAAGGAGATACATAGATGAATTTGTACAAACATTTGTGCTTAAGAATTCTTCCACGTCGGTTTTTAACATAGAATAAAAACATAGAACTAAACATAGAATAAAATGTTAATTTTTATTATATCGAATATGGATGCCGTCAACAAATTTTTATTGAAGAAAAGTATAAGTGAAAGGGTGGTGTGTGTGTTATTTTTTGTATAGAGTGTAGAAATATAGAATAAAAAAATGAAACCGCAAATTGAACGACAAACATAACAATTTTTTCATCTTTTCCTTTTTTCGGTTTTCAAAAATTGAAAAATTTAAGGCAAGAAATTTCTATTTAGTATCTTTATATCTAGATGAAAGGTTTACTTCTTATACAGACCGATATAGTCGACTCACAAAGTCTAGAGCTTCAGCAACTCATTTATTTTCAGCTTCGTACTTAAAAGTATGTCACAGAGGACCGGGATTCAGCGAATGCGCTGTTGCGGATGCCAACGAAGTATTGCCACATTTATTAAAAGGCGAAAGGCAAATGAAAATTCCGAACATGATCCCTATGAATTTTCCCGAAGTCCAAATTGATGCGGGACCAAATTTGAAAATTGCACTGTACAACTTGGACATTTATGGACTTGATACGATGATTATAGATGATTTCCAGTAAGAATATACAGTGTAGTTTATATTTGAGGCGTCAAGTTGCAAAAGCCGTATTATCCCATAAACGTTGTTTCGAGATAATAAGCAAAAATTGTTTTAGCAAATATTTGAAGCGTTAATTTGAAAAAACGTATCCATTGAGTAGAATCATTGTTTTGTATCTCGTTTTTCTAGAAATAAAAATTAATATTTAATTTTTAAACAAAAAAACACAAATTTGTATAAGGCGGCTTTTGTTGCAGTATGATGCATATTGTGGGTTTTGGTACAATATGATCAAGAAAATACGGCATTAGCGATGACGACGAACGAAAAGAACGTTGTCGTTTTATAGGTATGTAAATTTATATGGGAAATGTCATTGATCGATATTTTCAAGCCAACTGGACGCCGTTTTTTTTTAATCATGCGGTATTTACATCCTAACCTGATTTATTAAATATACTATTTTCTTAAAATTAAGTAAGGATTTCAAAAGATTTCGACTTTTATTGCAGTTTGGAATTATGTTTATGCGGATTTCAGGATCCACTATTAATATATATGTCATTAGGCCATTTTTTTATAATTGATAAGGCGGGTTTTGCAAATTGACGCTATTGGCAATCTTGGCCGTTTTTGTCATCTGGCAATTACCTGGTCTCTGATATATGATATACATCTTATCTCCAGTAAAAGTTGCACAACAAATATCTCATACGAATAGTTCAAACATTTTAAAAAAATTTACTTTATGATTTTTTTTTAAATTGCTCTATCTTATTTTTTGAAAAACTCTGAATAGTTCTAATAATGCTGTACTGAAAGATAATAATGTAATTAGATTCTCTTACAAATCAGATAATTTTTTCCGTTACAAACAATTTTTGTAACTTCGTTACTACAACGCCTCGAAAAACGGTCACATTTAAATTTTGAGGTATTTTAAAGTTTTATATTATTGTGTTCCACTAGAATACAATATACGTATAAACCTTTACAAAATTATCAATCTATCTATCGTTTAGTGGACCGATTTTCATAATTTTTAAGCAATTTGTAGCTAACAATTTGACTTTTTAGTTTCTCTTTCTAATTTAAAAACGAAAGTTCCCACCTGTCAATTATACGAGGGAAAATAAAATGTTGATATTTTGGTGAAAGTTTGAAACACCCTGTGGGGTATGCTAAAAAAGCAAGGAATTTAAATATTAATTTATTATCTAGGTGCATCTTTTCTCGATAGTTTGGTTTTTAATTCATCCCAATAGCTTTATTTTTGTTGGAGATATTCGCTTTTGAATAAGACAATAACGATTTACAGAAATTTTAGCATTGACTTTGGGCGAGGGGTAAACACATAGGGCAAAAAGTGTACACCTACATCCTCTATCCTTAGTACATCCCCTACATCCTCCAGTACATCCTCGGTACATCCCCTACATCCTCGGTACATCCCCTATATCCCCTAATACATCCCCTACATCCTCGGTACATCCACTACATCCTCGGTACATCCCCGGTACATCCCCTACATCCTCTAGTACATCCTCGGTATATCCCCAGGAAATCCTCTCATGTGTACGCCATACATTTAGAATAATTTTCGTGATGAACCGTTTTACGTATCTAAAATACTTTTCGAGATATACTTATCTTGGACACACTGTATATATTTTTTTAAAATTTTATTTGAATGGTAAAAAGAAAGTTAAAATTTTGAACGCTATTATCTCCGAAACTATTAAATATATAAAAAAAGATGAAGCACCATTTCGACTTACATTTACTAGAGGGATATAAAAATTTACAGGGTGTTTTTTATTTAAAATAACAAAATTAAGGTTACTTTACTTACGACGAAACCGGAATTGTTATTTATGTTAGAGCGATCTCCCACTTTATTACGAGCTTTATTATATGTATAACTACACAAAATTTCTCAAACCTCTACAATTTATTGGCTAGTAATATAGTTGACACCTAATATTTTTGTTGAATTCAAAAGGATAAAAAAAATCAAATCCATTTAAAAAAATTATATGGGGTCATCGAGAATCGAACTAAGGCGCGCCAACCCATACCAAATCTTGCCAGAGCTGTAACAATCTCGGCTATTGTGCCTACAACAATTCGCCGTTACTTTTATTATACAGGGTGAGTCTTAAATAGGTGCAAATATTTTCAGGGCTGGTAGATCTCGATAAAAGAAACATATTTTTTCTTTACCATTTTTCAAATAAGTCCAAAATAACAGAGTTATTTAAGTTTTAAAATTTAAAAAAAAATGATTTTTTTAAATTTTGATAGCCACCTGATTTTTTTCTGTATTTGTATCCCTTTTAGTGCCGAACCATAGAGTAAAGCTGTAACTATGGTAATATCAGAGATTAAGAATTTATAACGTGGGAAAATTAGGGGTGAACAGGCAGTTCTAAAAAGTTTTCGAAAAATATACAGGGAAATTTAAAATAAAATGCACGATTTTCAACATATTTTATTTGCAAAAAAACATCATAGACGTGTTCCTGGGGTCAAAATATACCACCCCTGAAAATATTTGCACTTATTTAAGACTTACCCTGGATAACAGCAGTTTATGCCTCGGTTTATGCAGTTTATGTCGGCGGAAAAAATAACTTAAGTCATGCGTAAAGCCCTATATTATGTGCAAAGTTATCAATCTCGTGTTTTGAACCCCAAATAAAAATGAGATCTAGTAGCTACCGAGGATCTACTTTAACAGACCTAAAAATAGGCAACGTTAAAGGCATTCGCATTTATGAACTTCGTTTTTGACGTATAGAGGGTACAATAATAATTATTTACACACACTTCCCTTTAATTCATAACGCTTACGGCACTATGCAATAAGATATGAACACACACAAACACATTTTTGCATAAACTTATACCAGAGATATGGATTAAAGTCTATATATCTGACTTATACATACATTTTGCGAGATATTTTGAGGTTATGAGTAGGGGTGAGCCACAAAGCCTTGAGTATCGATATTTTTATCGATATATCAAATAAAGGTCCATTTTCACTCCCATGAAATTTGTGCAAATCGGCTTGTGAAAATCGGCTTGTGCAAACTTTATTTAATAAATTCATTGAGAAAAACGGATGTGCACAAGCTAATTCACATACGTGAAAACCAAGTAACGATATATTGGTCCATAAATATCGATATAGCTATCGATATAACAGATACCGCTATATCTCTTTATGAATACTTCATATCGGAAATATCTATATCTATCTATATTCACAATATCGATATTCGATCTTATTTGATTTCGTACAGGGTGGTTGTAAAATATTGAATAAATATCAACATCTCGAGAACCACATTTTTTGGAAATCGCTCGGCCACATCAATTATTTTAATTTTTCCGGGGCAGATTATGCCAAAAATGAATATTATACAGGGTGTCTCAAAAATGCTTTGTCCAAAACAATTTCTTTTAATGGCAACCCTCGTGGCAACATAATTATTATTTTTCTGCATTTTTGAATTGCCCTTAAAATTCTGAATATTTTCCATGTTAGTGCTATACCCAAATCCAAGCTTTTTGGAGTTATTCTCATTTAAAAATTAAAAAGTGAAAAAAAATATTAGAAAAAACCTTTTTAAGAGGATACCGAAGAGGATACCTTATGGAAAATGTATTCAAAAGACAACCCACAAATTTGGATGACTTGAAACATCGCATTCGGCAAATTACGCCCCAAATAATTTGAAATACATCCCCGGTAAATCCTCGGTACATCCCCTACATCCTCTAGTACATCCTCGGTACATCCCCTACATCCTCGGTACATCCCCTACATCCTCTAGTACATCCTCGGTACATCCACTACATCCTCGGTACATCCACTACATCCTCGGTACATCCCCTGGAAATCCTCTCATGTGTACACCATAAATCCCCTAAGTGTTCACCCCTCGACTTTGGGTCTTCATCAACACACTTATAAAATAGTGTTTATTTTGTTTTTGTAATGTTACTGCGATTGAAACTTGAAACGTCATATTATTATGATATTATTATTGTTTGTTGACATTTACGTTAGTATAGATGGTTTTAAGTTTTGAAGTATCGGCTATTGCTGCTTTAATTGATCATGGCAGAGATCAACTATTGGACTTAAAACAATATCTGCTAGATTAACTGCCTAATAGACAATAATATAAAATTATTTTTCAAAGACAGTGACGTTACATAAATCATAAACACTATTATGTAGGTCTGTTGACTAGGACCAAAAGCAAGAGCAGTGTTTTATTGTAAAAAATACGAAAAAGTGTCTTCTTCAAAAGCAAATATCCAAAAAAAAAATGCTATTGAGATGAATCAAAAAATAAACTATTAAGGAAAGATACACCTAGATGATAAAGTTATTCAAAAGGGTGTTTTTCCAAAAGCAACTTTCACCAAAATATCAACATTTTGTTATGATTTTGTTTCGCCTCGTTGACATTGACAGATGACAACTCATTTTTAATTTAGAAAGAGTTACTAAAAAGTCAAACAATTTTGCTACAAATTGCTTAAAAAATCATCAAAATCGGCTAAGTAGAACAAAATATATTAAACTTTAAAATAGGTACATCAAAATTTTAATGTGCCCGTTGTCGTGCTGGTGAGTGTATATATTGAGGTTGGACTCCCGACCCTTACTAGAAGAGGTGGTAGCTTGTGTACCACTTGTGGAGACTTGCGCGAGGTCAGCCTCTACAAGTGGGGAGTCCACCTCTAGACCTAACAAGCGACACCAGCTACCGTTCCGTCTACCCGGCTTGGGTCAACCAGGCGGGTTAGACGATCCGCTGAGAGTAGGTCTTAGCGGAGCACAAGCACGGAGATACCTCCGACTGCTCCACGAAGGACTTATTCCCGAGGAAGCAAAAGCCAAAACTCTCCTTGAAAAAGGAACCAAGAAACAACCTGGCGCATCTCCACCAAAGGGCAAGAGGGGGAGCGAAAACCTCTCCCCTTTGTTCCTACAAGGAGAGAAAAAAGCCAGGATGGAAAGCCGCCCCCACACCAAGAGGCAAGCAGGGACGTATCACTAGCTATGCCGCTATTGCTGGACAAGTGAAAATTGCGGTGCTGCCAAAGGAATATCCGGAGGTTGTACTGACTACTGACCAGCAAACGGCTCTAGAAGAGGCGATACTGGACGAAGTAGTAGCGAGCGGATTGCGACGCAACGATCCACAAAGTGTGGGTCAGCTGCGCTTTGCGGGGATACATTTTAGGGTGGGCATGATCCTCATATAGTGTGCATCTGAAAAATCGGCGGATTGGTTCCAAGCTTAAAAATTGGCAGGGGCCGGGACTGGTTGCAATGAGGGAGAAAACATCCCTAAAGGGACAACCATCACGGTCTTTCTGCCAAGAAGCAAGGGAAAAGACACCACCTACCTGCTAGACCTTATCCAGGCTCAGAACGAGAATGTGAGTACATCGAGCTGGCGAGTCCTCAACTCGAAGGAGGAGGGCCATGGTCAGGTCCTCACAATAGGAATTGACCTCAAATCCAAGGAGGCAATAGAGAAAGAGGGATATAACCTCTATTATAGATTCGGGACGGTACCGGTATCAGGTCCAAGAAACAAACAAGCTAAAGAGGGGGAGAAAATGGAGACAAATACTCTAGCCTCCACCTCACAGGAACCTCAGCCGGCGACAAGCTCCTCGACTATGAAGGACACGGATGGCGAAACTCCAACCGTGAGAGGGTATATATCCTCAGAGGAGGTTGATGACTCGAAGGAGGAACATCTGTTGTCAGGGGGGGATGGGAAATACCCTGTCCTCCCTACAACAGGGGAACCCTTACATATCCCAGAAACCTGATGCATGGGATATCCCAAATAAAATCTTCCCTGGTGGCTATCCATGAACCTTGGTACGTCTGATGTCGAGGATGGAGAATTGGCCTCTGTGGAGCCGTCTCGGATACTGGCTTTTGTTAAAGCCCTGAGACTGTATGATTATAACTCGTTATTACTCAAGAAAGGGGAACACACAATAGATCTATAAGGTCGCAGTGATTAACTCCTCTCCTAAACATTCCACATTCTACATATATTGAGGTTTTTCATTAAATTTTTGAATCTTTGATTAGAATGTTTTCTAAAATCTATACTGAATCATATTCTTAAAATAAAAAGTAATTGAATACCTATAGTCAATGTTATTTTTATATTGTAGGATCGATTTTGACAAGCTTCATGTAATGCTTGCCATGCATGCTAAACAGGTATCTTTAATAGGTACATATGATATTGATGGACAAATTATGGTACTACCCATTCAAGGAAAGGGACCATGTAATTTGACAATTGGTAAGTAAAAATATATTGGGCCACTATTGGCCTTTTATACAACATATGCCTGACTGAGAATTACATTAGAAGTTTACACGATACTGTACTCTACACTGGTGTTTCAAATTAAAAAAAAAATGTGGTACCGGGTTTCTCAAATTGGGGCTATGTTTGTCACGAAAATGACTGTTCATGAGTTCAATGATAATTTATTTAGTAATTAACCGCATTTTTGTTCTATCCGGAAATGTGACAGAAAAATTTAAAATTTATGGTTTTAATTGTATCAAACATGTAATATTCTTACAGCTTTATTATACAGGGTGGTCCAAGTTTCCATTCCGGAAACTTTGGCAGCATATTCTGCAATAAGTAAAAAAAGTTATTATAAATATATGTCCTAAAATGCTCCGTTTCGGAGACACAGGGTGCAGAAGTTTCATACTATATTCGATATTTGAATAAAAATTGGTTCTGATGATTTTGACATGAGAAATTTGATTTCGATGTCAATATGACTGGTACTTGCAGGGGGCGCCACCTGCATGTTTTTAACTATTTTAACGAATAATAACTTTTCGATCATACCTGTATAAATCAACTGGGTAATAAATATTCATTTCCGTTATTTTTTACGTAAAAAAAGTCTTTTGGTAAAAATCACGCAAGAGCAATCGTTCTTAAGATGTTTAGAATTGAATTAGTCAATACCATGTCATTATTGACAAAAATTAAACATACCTAATGATATGTTGAGTAGATAGTTATTTGACTGGAATAATAAATTTGAGATCTTTACGCTTTTTAAAATTTTTCATAAATTTTTTTTCGAGAAAATTAAGATAAAACAGATCCTATTGAACCTTTGGTTAAAAACATTTCAAATTTATTATTTCAGTCTAATAACGATGTAGTAAACATCTTTAATTTATGTGAATGATGACATGGATTGATTATTTCGATTCCAAATATCTGGAGAACCATTACTCTTAGCGATTTTTTAACAAGATATCTTTTTTACGTAAAAACAACGGAAATGTACATTTTTTACTCAGTAGTTTTAGTTATTACTATTCAAACCAGTTAAAAAATACGTAGGTAGCGCCCTCTACAAGTAGGAGTCATATTGACATTAAAATCAAATTTCTCATATGAAAAAACTCCTAAATACCAATTTCCATCCAAATATTGACGGTACTTTAGAAATTATTTGAAAAAATCGAAATACAAATGAAACTTCTACATCCAGTAGCACTTCTAAACTAAGCAATTTAGGACATACATTTCTAAGAACTTTTTTTATTTATTTTTATCTGCAGAATATGCTGCTGAAGTTTTACAAATAAAATTCGGGCCACCCTGTATAAATTATTCTTACATCAATTGTAATTTTAACTTAATCGAAAGTTCGCTCGAATTATATTCCGGAAACTTCGGCAGCATATTCTGCAGATAAAAATAAGTAAAAAAGTTCGTATAAACGTATGTCCTAAAATGCTTAGTATCGGAGATACAGGGTGTAGAAGTTTAATTTTTATTTCGATTTTTTTTCAAATAATTTCTGAAGTAAAGTCAATATTTGAATGAAAATTGGTGTCTGGGAGTTTTTTGACATGAGAAATTTGATTTTGATGTCAATATAGCTCCCACTAGTAGAGGGCGCCACCTACATATTTTTTAACCGGTTTGAAGAGTAACAACTTTTTGTCCGTACCTGTATATAACTACTGAGTAAAAAAATATACATTTGCGATGTTTTTTACATAAAGAGGGTCTCTTGGTAAAAATCGCTACGAGTAATGGTTTTCGAGATATTTGGAATCGAAATTGTCAATACCTGTCATCATTGACATTAATTAAACATATTGACTAAATAGTTATTAGACTGAAATTATAAATTTAAAATACTTTTGTGCCAAAAGTTCAACAGAAACTGTTTTATCATCATTTTTTTTAAGAAAAATTTATGATTGATTTAAAAAAAAATAAAAATTTCCTAAATTTATTATTTCAGTGAAATAACTATCTACTCAACGTGTTTATTTTTCGTCAATAATGACATGTATTGACTATTTCCATTCTAAATATCTTAAGAACGGTTGCTCGTAGCGATTTTTACGAGATATTTTTTACGTAAAAAGTCACAGAGATGTATATTTTTTCACTCGGTAGTTTTATACAGGTACGGACAAAAAGTTATTACGATTCAAAATAGTTAAAACACCTGTAGGTGGCGCCCTCTACTAGTAGGAGTCGTATTGACATCAAAATCAAATTTCTCATGTCAAAAAACTTCCAGACACCAATTTTCATCCAAATATTGACGTTACTTCAGAAATTATTTACAAAAAATTGAAATAAACGTGAAACTTCTACACCCTGTATCTCTGAAATTAAGCATTTTAGGACCTACATTTATACGAACTTTTTTAGTTATTTTTATCTGCAGAATATGCTGCCGAAGTTTCCGGAATACAATTCGGACCACCCTGTATATTAAAAAAAAACAAATAAAATAAAAGATAAAATATTTCATTATAAATATCGGCATGATTTTTTCAGTGAATCCAGAGTTTGTATACCAATTTGACTACAAGCTGGTACAGAAAAATGGAGGTGAGCATGCTGAAGTCTTAGAAAGTTCTCTGGACTTCAATATTCCAAAGACGTATATAAATTTGGAGAATCTATTTAATGGAAATAAACAAATGGGTAAGCTAAAGTTTATTCATAATAGCATATTCCCCTTTTAATAAACGAAAGCATTGTAGAATAGCAAATTAAGGGTTCAGGGTAAAAACGTGATAAGCGCCATTTCACTGATTTTACATGAGAGCACTAGACGGCTTGTGTTATCAGGTTCTTTCTGTATATTTTATATTTTTACTAGGCATGTACAGGGTGTCCCACTAAGAATAGCTCTCGGCTGTATCTCGGAAAGTATTAGCCGTAACGGCTGCGGAAAAAATATTTATAGCTAAAGAGGCTATGTGAAATTGCTGGAAATTATTTTCAAGTTTGTAGAACGACCGCTAGGGGGCGCAACTGAAACAAAAATAAGAAAGTGGAGTTTTTACACAATTTTGCCTAGCTAAGATGTACTATAAGTAACAGCTTCATAATCTTCAGAAAATTTTGAATATTTTTTGTTAGAGCCATTTTCCCCTATCTATCAAAATAAAGTAAGGGGGGGAAGGTTAGGTCTATTTTTATTTGAATGATAATAACTCTGGACTGCATAATCGGAATCCAACAAGCGGGGGCTCGTTTAAAAGAGCGTTTCTTACTCTATATTGTACCACATAAACAATAGTAATAAGCTTTTGAACGTAGACGCTAGGGGGCGTTGTCTTACAATTTAACAAATATTGCGCGTTTTTTCAAAAAAATTATATGCAATAGTATATGTAATTTTAGCTGATAGTGAAGAGTAGTAAGAGCTTAAAAAATCAGCGAAAACCGCATCTTCATATCTTCTTTCAAACCGAAGATATTAGCAAAATTATAATAAATACCAAAAAATAAGCGCTTAATTACCTTATTTTTACAACAGGGTATCAGTAGCCCTCTTGATTATGCCCATTCTAACCTAAAAATAAGATAGAATTAATTAGTTTATTTTAAAATCGACGATATACCAGAATATCATAATATCAGATGTATAAATATCTAATAATTAATATATTAATAATAATAACTATCGTATTTATTTTTTTTTTTTGGAAAAACGCGGCTATGTTTGTTAAATTGTAAGAAAGCGCCCCCTAGCGTCTACATTCAAAACCTTATTATTATTATTTTTATGGTATAATATAGAGTAAGATACGCTCTTTTAAACGAGCCCTCGTTTGTTGGATTCTGATCATCCAAAATGGTTCTAACAAAAAAAAATCCAAAATTTACTGAAGATTATGAAGCTATTATTTTAGATTTTTTTTAGAATTTAGAATGAGTGGGAGGGGGGTTAATCACTGCGACCTTACAGATCCATTGTGTCCCCCTTTCTTGAGTCATAACTCATCATACAGTCCCAGGGCTTTGACAAAAGCCAGTATCTGGGACGGTTTTATAGAGGGTAGTTCTCCATCTCCAATATCAGTCGTACCAAAATTCATGGCACGAATGGTTGTCGTCTCGGCGCACTCAGTGATGAGGTGTACTGGTGTTTCCCCATCTTCCCCACAGAATCTGCATTCGCCGTTTCTTCTTAGTTTCAATCTACTGAGGTGTTCATTGAGGAGACAGTGTCCTGTTAAAAACCCCGTGACAATCCGAAGATTGTTCTTACTTAAACCCAGGAAGATCTGTGATTTTTCTTGATCATAAGCCCTCAGAAACTTCTTCGAAGCTATTATTTATAGTACCCATTATCTAGGCAAAATTATGTAAAAAATCTATTTTCTTATTTTCCATAGAAATTGCGCCACAATTTCTCATAGCCCCTTTAGTTATAAATATTTTTTGCGTAAGCCCTACGGCTAATACTTTCCGAGATACAGCCGAGAGCTATTCTTAGTGGGTCATCCTGTACAGGATGAGTTTTATACGATTTGCTCTCTGGGTATCTCACAAACTCTTGTAGATAGAGAATCGGTTAAATGGAGAAAGAATTGCAGTTTTGTAGGGTCATAAATATGCGCCTTTTAGATTTTTGAAAAAGTTCATGGCTTACTAGATATTTTAAACAAAATAAATTTTGGAAAATGTTAAAAATTGTCTCTAATTCTATTATAATTTATTTTAGACAAAAAGTTTTCAGATAAAAGTTGTAAATAATCACATCCTTAATGAGATTGTGTGCTCCGTTTTTTTTTCTAAAGCCTGTCATTTTTGACATATATCACAAATTTATGTTTTTTTAAATGGAAACCATAGTTGGTCATGACTTCATAAAAAGCGCCATTTTTAAACTTTTCTGTGGCATAAGCTATAATATGTTTTTTTTTTCAAGAAATTACAGAGTTATAGTTAATTCTTATCATTTTTAAACAATTTCACTTAGTTTGCCATTGAAACAAGTTCGTCGCTCTCAGAAATGTGAAACTGCCACATCCAAACTTTGTAAATTAAAATAAACAAAACTATTTTTTAATAATATAGGGATATTTTTTGACACCCTGTATATATATTTTTTTAATTTTTAAGCTGAAATAAATCGGCCATTTTGAACTAAATTAGTTAGGTCTAATCTCAAAATCGCATCGTATAGGTTGTGCGAAATTCAAAATATTAATATATATTTCTTTGGTTTTAGGCGACCATGTAAACGAATTCTTGAACGAAAACGATAAAGAGTTCATCAACGAAATATCCGGAGCTGTCAAGGGTACCATTTCAGCTATAGGTCAACAATTCTTCCAAGGGATATTTGACAGCATTCCATACGACGAGTTGTTCCTCGTATAATATACATGTACCTATTTTTTATATTTTTTAATTTTTTATATTTTATTTAGTGTTATTTAATAGTACAAATATGTTTAAATATAAATACAATAAATAAATAATGTAGGCAGTTGACTTTTATTAAAGAGTTCTTTGAATCTGAATAATTATTGAAATAAATATAAATGTACTAGCGTGTACCCACGACTTCGTTCGCGTCGAATTAATGATTTATAATGGTGATGATAAAGCAAAGCAAGAATTTTCATTAACATACAAACTGGATAAAATTCACATTTATATCAGCATGAAAAAATACAATATCGCGATATTATTATATAACTTGGTAATATTTGAGGGGTAGTTTTGTCTCGTTGGCATTTGACTTTCGAAAAATCCGTTTGCCAAAAATAAGCTTTTTACGTCAAGCAGTTTAAGCAGAATCGTGGTTAAGAAATTATTCAGCTTATTTGAACACCCTGTATGATTTTTTAAAAAATTTCGAAATATTTAAAAAAACCAAATAAATTATGCTTTTCCAAGCGTTCTCCCGAAAGACTAACAGTTTTTTAAATAACAAATATTATAATATTTGAGGGGAGTTTTCACCCTCTTGAAATTTGAGATTCGAGAAACCCCTCCTTATCGAACCTCTACACCCCACAGTCAATCCGTTTGCCTAAAATCAGCTTTAAACGTCGAGCAGTTTGAGCAGAATCGTGATTACTCAATGGTCATATTTTATGAAACACCCTGTATAAGGTAGTATAATTTTTATTATTGCAACACAATAACTGATTAATAAATAAACTTCAATAAATATTTAGTATTAAAAACTTTGATACCCTTGGAGAAATGAAGCCTTAAAATTTTGACTGCAACTTCACAAAATTGAAAATATTTCAAAAACGGTAAGGTTTAAGTGTAATAAACCTTTATTAAATTTACCTTTATTTTAATCGTAGAAACTAAAAATGTAATAATATACAGAGTGTTCCATTTAAAAAAATACAACTTTAATATTTTTTATTTATTTGGGACACTGTATCTTGTAAAAATATTTTTAAATTGTAGCTCTAATAGTCCTTCAACGACCCCAAAACTTACAATTTGTAAAAATCTAATCGTTTAGCTACAATACTCCGTGTCGTATGTGGTGAACAACCCTGTATATGTATCAATTTCATATAATATTCTATGATTATACAAAGAACGGCATCCGAGTTGGCTTGGAAATGAAGATTGCTGATATTTCAAATGTAAAATATTATGGTAAATGTCAATAGTCGTCATTTCCAAGCTCGTTTCCAAGCCATCTAAACGACTTCTTTTCTGTCATACGAAATATTCAGTACCTATAAAAGAATTTACTTTTGTTTAAGTCTATGTTTAACAGGAATTAATTTTTAATACGAAATTAGGAGGATAAGTTAGTGGTTTACTTTATTGGAATAAATTAATAGAATAAATTAGTGGGTTACTTTACACTTAAGAATTTACGATTCACAATGAAAAAAATACAATTAAAATTAATAGAATATCCTAGCTACAGCTTGCGTTAGGTTAGGTTAGGGTTGGTAACATTTATTAAGGTAACTTTGGTTAGGTAACTTTCTTAACTAAATATATATATATATAGGTAACTTTTTCTACTAATTGGAAATTATTACCACTAATTTTTATGTTCTGAAAGCTTACATTGAAATTAGGAGAACAAACTTACTACTACTCTAATTGAAACCGTTAATTTTTCCACAAATTTTGAGATTCTGAATGAGGCTTTAGAGTAACTGCCAACATATACAATAATAATAATATGAGTTTTCACTGATAGTAACCATTATAAAAAGAATAAACAAATAAAGTTATTGAGATGAATCAAAAAACAAACTATCGAGATAAAATGGTTTAAGTAATATAAATAAATTGGTTTTTAATTTTCATACTAAAATAATATATGGAAATTTTATTTTTTTATTCAAAAATAAGTTAAAAAATCAAATAATTTAGCTATACAGGGTGGCCCATCGAAAACGTTCCGCAAGGCATAACGGCTAGGGTAATTTTTCTAACCAAACCAAATCAAAAACACGTCAATTTTGTTTGTGAGGGGGACAACTTTTGCCCCAAAAATGATTGCAAAATCTTCAACCCTCTGAGCGGGGATATCATCCCCAATTTTTTTCAAATGGGAAGGGGGTCAAGTGGTACCGCAGTGAAAAGGGCTTTCTATTATCTATACTTTCCCGCTTCGTTTTTGAAAATAGGTCGAGTCATTGAGAAAATATGAAGGATTGAAATTTGAAAAGTTTTTTGCTGTTTTTTGTTACCAATTTGCTGTTTTTTGTTATTATTTCTAGATGTTTTCGCATTTTTTCACTTGCCACAAGGTTGAACGATCAGTTGCGGTAGTTGCTAGATAGCTGTTCTGTTTCTTGTGCGTTGAAGATCTTCTCAATACCGTTAAACTTTTTAACAATTATGGTGTACTCACTTGCAGAAAAAGTGGAAATAATTGAATTTTATTTTAAAAATAATGAATGTGGCAATCGGGTTGCGCAAATATTCAATGAACGCCATCCTAACAAACACCTTTATGGCAAAATTGTTCGCGAGTTAGTAGCAAAATTTCGCGAAACTGGTTCCGTTATGAATAAAAAGAGGCAGAGGAAAAATCCTGTAGTAAATGAAGCTATGGAGATGTTCGTATTGGGCCAAGTTGCCAAGTACGCTGAGTACAAGAAAATTAGCCAATGAGACCGGCGTGAATCGTACAAGCGTCCAAAGGATATTAAAAAAAGTTTCACCCGTACAAAATTCAATTGGTACAAGAACGCAACGAAGACGTTTTAAAATAAAGCAAAATAAAGTTTATTTTTAAAATAAAGTTCGATTATTTCTACTTTTTCTGCAAGTGAGTACACCATAATTGTTAAAAATTTAACGATTTTGGGAAGAACTTTAACGCACAAGTCACAGAACAGCTATCTCGCAACTACCGCACCTGATCGTTCAACCTTGTGGCAAGTGAAAAAATGCGAAAATATCTAGAAATAATAAGAAAAAACAGCAAATTGGTCGAAGGAAATTATCCTCATCATTTACTCTGATAAATTTTTAAACTTTTCAAATTTCAATCCTTCATATTTTCTCAATGACTCGACCGATTTTCAAAAACGAAGCGGGAAAGTATAGATAATAGAAAGCCCTTTTCATTGCGGTACCACTTGACCCCCCTTCCCATTTGAAAAAAATTGGGGGATGACACCCCCGCTCAGAGGGTTGAAGATTTTGCATCATTTTTGGGGCAAAAGTTGTCCCCCTCACAAACAAAATTGACGTGTTTTTGGATTTTTTGAAAAAAAAATACCCTGGCCGTTACGCCTTGCAGAACGTTTTCGATGGGCCACACTGTATATAGCTTAAAAATCGTCAAAATCTGCCAACTAGAATAAAAGTCTTAATAAACTTGTCCATGTTTCGTGTCGTTCAGTGTACTTTATTCCTTAAAAATGTCAATTATTAACTTTTAATATAGCACACAACTTGTTTCTATACACATATTCTAAAATTCCAATACGATTTAAGCAAAACTATTAAAATCTTCTTACTTAAATATTACAGTAATTTTTTAATCATGCATTTTAAAGTTTACATTGTATAATTTTGGAAAAATAATTATGTTGTCATTAAAATGACTTCTGAAAAGATAAATAAATTTGAATAAAATATTTATAACATGTAATTAAAACAACAGCGCTAATGTAAATGATTTGTCGTTAATTGTTCAGTAGTTAACAATTTGATTTTTGCTTCATTTAAATACTGAACTATGTAATAACAGTATAGCCGCAGTTCATTTAATTTATAAAACAGTAAAACCCATATTAGTTACCTAACTATAGTTGGCAGTTGAGTTGTGGTTAGAAAAGAGTATAAACAAAATGTGTTATAGAATAATTTCATTTGGATTTCTCTTAATTTGTGTGCAATCCATTAATGCAGAAATACGTAAGTAAAAAACTTGTACTTTATAAAGCGGGCTTAATAATTTTTGTCACATATAGCATTTTTTTCCTTTTTTTAGAATATATTCTTGATAAGGGCCTCTGGGGATCATAACAAAATATATAGTTCTTTTTGTTAGAGTTGAATCAAATAAATCTTAGAATTTTAAATTAGTGACAATTAAGTTAAGCTTTTTACAAATGTTTAGTCTTTCATCAGAACGATACTATTTTAAAGTCTTTTCGTCAAATTCGTTATGTCTATGTTTGTTTTTCACATATTATGCACAATTCCGCACAATATTGTGCCCCCCCCCCCCCCAGAATTTTGATAAAAGCTTGTGCAAATACTTATTTATTTAAAAAAAATTATTTAAAAGTTATTTTAATGAAAAGGTTGTTCTAGATTTTCTGAGCAATTTTTTAAACAATATTTATGTCTATAAAAAAATATTTCTTAAGTAGAAAATATAATGAATGTGACGAAAGGCTTTTAAAATAGTATAGTTCAGAAGAAGACGATACTTTTGTCGAAACGTCAAATTGTTACAATCTGAGTTTTATTTGACCTAAATCTAACAAAAAAAATCAAGTATATAACTGTTTTGGGATTGGACAATAATATTTATTTTTAAATTATAAATACAGGGTGGTCCAAATTATATTCAGGAAACTTTGGCAGCATATTTGGCAGATAAAAATAATTAAAAAATGCTTCGTTTTGTTGATACAGGATGTAAAAGTTTAATTTGTATTTCGATTTCTTTCAAATAATTTCTGATCTCAGTTTAACTTAATTTTTTGTATTTATTAATCAATATAGAGATACCTAAAATGAAACTAAACCTAACCTACATATTTGTAACGGGGTGGAATAAACCTGAGAAAATTTTAATTAACTATACAGGGTTCTAAAAATTCGGGGTACGAGCATTGTTATCTCGGAAACCGTAATAGATACGAAGATAGTTAAATAGGGACCTGCATTTTTTACTTCAGGTTTTGAAAGAACTCGGTTTTCCGAGTTCAACACTTTATACTTTTTTTTTGTTTTAGGTACCTTAACACCAACAAAACTTTTTAATTATTATTTCAAATAATTTCAAGTCCGAATCTATTTTTTTTTAATTATTATTTAATCTGATTATATTAAACGCAAGATTAAGTTGGCTATCAGCTAAATTGAGAATCTAAAAATACAGTCAGATAGCCCTAATAAAGTTGCTATAAGAATGTGCAATTAGTTTTTTGATTTGGCAGGAAAAAATAAAATTTATTTTCAAAAAAATCCGTTTTTCCAAAAAACTCAACAATCCTTGAAATTTTAAAAAAAATAATGACATCTTGGTGAACATCCCAAGGCAGCTTTGTCCCGATTTAACCATGTTCGTATCTATTACGGTTAGTGAGATAACAATGCTCTTACCCCGAATTTGTAGCTTCCTGTATGTCTGAATTTTCAAATATACTGATAAAAAACATTTTAAAATATGCGCAGCAATTTAGCTCGTATATTCATAGAGGTACGTACATACCTGACGAGACGGCGCGCACAGTGGTGTGAAACTGATAATATAACGAAAAAACCCTATATTTCCTAAACCGTTAATCCAATCGCATTGGGACGAATTTTATTCGCTTCAGCTTAATAAAATACATCAAATAACATGGTTTAATAAATTTATTTAAAAGTAAACTGAGCACCAATTGAAACGTAAAGTGAAAATTTTTGCATCAAGTTGAACTTCTTGTATTTTCTAAACTATTGAAGGCATTTTGAATTGCTAGCCAGATTCTGAAACGCTTTTTTATCGACTGTCGAACCGTTCTTTGCAGTTTATATAATTATTGGCCAATACCCATAATACAGGGTAAAACAAAAATGCGTGCATTTTTTACAAAATTTTAAGTGACCTCCATTTTGTGGGGGGATGGAGGATTTCCATTATTTGTGGGTATTTTAAAAGAGCTGTTTTATACCTCGGGACGTTTTTGAGTTTTTTTGGGGTATCGCTCTCCATTGCGATGTTTTCCTTTTTTTATGATTTTCGGTAAGGTTTTAATTCTAATAAATTTATCTCATTATGAAATTAATATATTATTTTTTTTATGAATTTATATTTTTTAGTATATTTATATTATAATTGTTTCCTGATTAACTCGCCAAGCTGCAAACTCTTTATTATATGCAATGTGTAACACACATTCCATGAATTTTATGCGAGCGTGCAATGGAGAGAAGCCCATCTGTATCGCCTTGTTTGCCCCTGGTTTACTTTTCACAAGTTCCAAATTATTAAAATCTGAAGGCTTACCATTACATACACAACAAACAGCCATTGATGATGCTCCAACCACTGTTTGCGCAACTTTTCCATCTATCATATTCAATACTAGGGTGTGGTTAACAGTGAAAGTTTTTCCCGTTAACTTGATGACGGAAGGTGTCAAATTCGAAATTTCCAGTTCCACTCTTTCCACTTCATTTCGTATTACCTCTGCTGTTTCTTTGATATATTCAAATTTAAGAGGCCGACAAAATCGTGTAGAGGATGGTCTATGATTTTCCCAACGAACTATGGAAGCATCGTGGTTTTCAGATAAGGACAAGGGCACAACTGACGTCAAAAACATGTTTGCATCTGTGACGTTTTCATCGGAGAGTGTTTGTTTGTATTGAGAATGTCCTGATGAACCATCACATCCCCGTTTTGAAATCAGTGTGAGTTCACTTTTAATCATGCACAATTCATTCTCCGTTTTTCCTTGTATAATTCTCGCCACAGTATGATCCAATAAGCCTTGCAAAGTGACTTTACCACAACTTTCTGTTATTTCCACCGTATTAGGGTAACACTGTTTTTTTTGAATCAAGTAGTTGCAAATAGGGCGGGAAAATATTACAGCCTACTTCCTTAACACATTTTCTTAATATTTCATATTGATATTTTGTTAAAGATGCGTCAAAAATTAAACCCAAGGCTTTTTTAGAATCAATATACCTCATAGTATCAGCTTGTTTTTCTTTTTTTATTTGTTCTGCTGCTGCGATTATCAATTCATCCGAAAAATCCTCTCGAAGTTTTTTTATTTTATTTTGCTTACTTCTTTTACACAAATCTTCAAAAGGTTTCTCTGGGCGACCTCCGACAGACTTAAGGGATGACTCGTTTTCGGATTCATGATCAGATTCAGGAAAATTAACCAAAAACTCGCCCTGCAACCACTCACTATACTTCGAAAAAAAAATTCGTTTCACATGATGCACTTCTCTCAATTTTTTGGCAAAGTTGGGTTGAAATCTTTTTATGGTTCCAGTTACCAGCAACAACCGCTCTCCTTGTAATTCTGGATACTGTTCCCTTAAACCTTGCTCTAAAGGGTACTCGCGGTTAAAGAGTAACTCGCACACAACACTGTATGGTATCACAAATTGCGACATGTTTATTATCCAGCTAATAAGACAAATCCAACAACAATACTGATAAAGTTTCATATCAAAATTTATCTAAAATCGGTTTTCGGCATCTGCAAAAATGAAGAAAGTAGTTTTAATTTTTTTTCACACTGTTTATCTTTTATTTTAAATTTTTAACAAACTTGGCCGAATCTGGCGATAAAATTTATAGAATCACTACTTTAACAGTTGCTTTTTTTAGTCAAATTAATCCGAGACCAAAGCTCGGTAAAGCTTTTTTTTTCTAGTCTGATTAAAGTAAGAAGTAAAGTAATTTTATTAGAAATAGATTCAAACTAAACTGCACCAAAGGCACGGTATATTTTGGCAAAATGATTTTTACTTTTAATGCCCTTGGATAAACCCAACAGTTCCTGAGTAATACCGATTTTTAGCAATTAAAAGAAGGGCTGTAAAATATTACTTGTTTTCGCTTTATTTTTGCGCGTTTCGTATATTAAGAAAATTGTCAAAATGGAGGTGCTGTAAATTCAAAACTAGTAATTAAATTAAAAAAGTAATATTATTATATTGTCTTTGAACTAACTCGATGTAAGATGGGATAATTTAAACCCGATTTAACACCTTCTTTTTTGTTTTTTTTTTTCCATTGCCGAAACCACTGTGCGGCGGCGCATGAGACGAACGCAAAACATTCCAAATTTTCTGTGTGGACGGGTCTCGATGAAATATGTAACAAGAAAATTTGCTGTAAAAACCTCATATAACTTGATACAACTTTACGCTGAGCCATCCTGTTTAGTTAATGTAATAAATAAATCTATGTTGTTGTTTTTATGTCTAAATTGTTTGTTATTAAGTATTTGATTCAAAAACACTTGTATTTTGCACCATAGGACAAAAAATATATCAATAATTTGCATAATTATTAACTAATTAAATTTTGTGTAATATGTTTTCTAAAACCCGATTAGATGTGTGTATTTATTTAAATATGGTTGTTAATAATCATAAATACAAATAATAAGTACAAAAACTAATAAAGAAAATAACTTGCAACCTGTAAAATATTTAATAAATTTAAGTAGCGTAAAACATATTGTTGAAAGACAAGCATCAATAAATTAATGTGAAAATGCAATCGACTAAAAATATCTAATTATCTATCGTTCGGCATATGTTATTTTTGACCTAAATTTAAATTTAATTAAAATATGTGTTTAGAATTTCATGTAGAAATTAAAAATCAAAAAATATATTATTTTAAACTATATTAAATATACCGTCAGCTCCTTTTTTTTAAATAAAGGTGTCTCCCTAAAAAACTTACCTTGAAATATTTAATTTGTACTTAAATTAGATCCTAAAAAAAGTTTAATAAACAAGTTGCCTGAAAAATACTGTACAATTAAACTATTTTTTCTAGTGCTTTTTTCCTATACAGGGTGCTACAAAATCGAGGTACGAGCATTGGTATCTCGGTAACCGTAATAGATACGAACATAGTTTAATTTGCGACAAACTTGCCACTTTGGAATGTTCATCAAGACGCCATCAAAAAAGTTTTAAAAATTTTAAGGACTGCTGAATTTTTTGGAAAAACGTTTTTTTTCAAAATCAATTTAATTTTTTCCTTTCGTTACTTTTTAGAAAATCACAAAACTAATTGCACATTCTCATAGCTACTTTATTAGGGCTACCTGATGGTTATTTTTAATTTTCAAATTAGCTGATAATTTGTAAGATACAGAGGCCAGCTTAATTTTGTTAAATACGGACCTGCATTTTTTATTTTAGGTTTTGAAAGAACTCGGGCTCTTGATTACAATGATATGCCACACTTAAATATTTTTTTTTGTTTCGGAAATTTGAATACAATTTATTTAAACTATTTTTAAGTCCGGCTCTGTTTTTTTTTAATATTTAATCTATTTATTGTTACAATAATGTATATCTTTCAAATTTAAAAATGACGTGGAATAAAATATTGAATACGGAAAAACAAATCAATAAAATAATAAAAAAGATCATAAAATAAATAATATAAATATAATATAATATAAACAATCAAATTATTTCCTCGGAAGATGGATTGTAAATAGTAAAGCAGTATAATGGCCAGCGAGGTTCCTGGACCTGTCACCAAAGGGGCGGGGGGCATTACTTGACGTCATTTGTAAAAGCAAAATCAATACATCTCAACATTTACAATAAGTACAAAAAGCATTTGGAAGTATAAGAAGAAGATCTGTTCAAAGAGCTATAAATAAAATTGAACAAAAAATAAATTAGTGCAATTGGGAGGGAGGTAACCCTTTCGAACATTAGAAACTATAGTTTGTAGAAGTTGATTTATTTATAAGTACGATTAATATAATGCATATTATTAGATCGTACAGTGAGATTTCAAATTCACAATTATAAAATCAGAAAAATTGAAAATATTATCTTTAAATTACTGATCTGGATATTATTTATTTGAATCTTCCAATTGGCTCGATTTTCCTTATTCAATTAGATTAAATATTAAAAAAACAGAGTCAGATTGAAATTATTTTATATAATAATTAAATAGTTTTGTTGTTGTTAAGATACCCAAAACAAAAAAAAATAAAGTCAGATATCAATGCTCGTACCTCGAATTTGTAGCACCCTGTATAATTTATTATAGTGCTTTATTATAGATCTTTGGCAATCTTACACGAAACGCCATGTATATTATTGAAAATAATACTAATTACACTATTCTTTTTACTAATCAGATTCCTACATTCCTGTCTTATTATAATAATTCTTTTATTTCAGCTTCATACCTTAAAGTGTGTCACAAAGGGCCCGAATTCAGCGCATGCGCTGTCAAAAGCGGTAATGATGCCTTACCACATCTCTTGAAAGGAGAAAAGAAAATGAAAATTCCGAACATGCTTCCCATGAGATTTCCAGAAGTCGACGTAGATGCTGGACCAACTTTAAAAATTAAACTATTCGACTTGGACGTGTTTGGTCTTGATACAGTTGTCCTAAAGAATGTCAAGTAAGTTTATGCCTAAATTTAATTTTTTTATGAATACTATTAAAAGTTACATACTGTTCAATTTGCGAAGTTTGAGTCTTTCGTCACAGATTGTCATTCTCTCTCTTATCCATGTTTATCACATGAAATGGAAATTTTGTGTCAAAAACGAAGTCCATCATATTTCATTTTTTTTTAATCCCTTTGGTTAATCCGCAAGCACATATCTGCTATTCCCGAAAGGCGATCTCATAACTATCCACTTAGGAATACAGAGCACGATCTTTATCTGCCAACCCCGAGCTCAGAACTAGTTAAAGATTCAATACTGTAGAATGCCAAAAAAATGTACAATCATCTGCCTTTGTAATATCAAGTCGCTTCCATTCTTTCCCGCATTTCGCAGAGCTCTAAAATCATACCTACTGGAGAGAGCCCTACATGCGGTAAACGACTTTTTTGTTGATGTTTAATTATGAACAATTTTGAATTTTAAAATTTTGGTCATCTCACACACTGGTCAAAGGTCAAGTATTTAATATTTTATAACTCTAAAATTATACCTATTTACTGCGTACTGTTCTAAAATTGTCCATGTATATTCTTTTTGTAATTTTAAAACTTAGTTTTTTTTAAATTGTATTATTTGTATTGTGTATTTTTTGTTGTTTGGATTTTTTTGTGATTTTGTTGTTTGTGAGTGCTTGGTCGATGAAGCTGTTTTGGCTTTTTGTACAATAAAGCGTTGTTTGTTGTTTTGTTGTTGTTGTTGTACATCGTTCGATTATTTTTTTATTTTCACATATAGTCGTAGCGGTAGACCGTTTCAAATCGTGATAGAATAAAACCGCTTGGCAGAAAGTTTACTTACATATAGTAGGTTGATTTGGACCGCAGCAGCTTATCAGGAGTAGACGCAGATTCAAAATGGCGGAATTTTTCAAAATTGCGCAGCTTAACTTAATTCTTATGAGACTAATGGGGTTGAAATTAATAGAATAGCAATTTTAACTTTTATAATTTATTAAAAGCACAGCGTTTTTAAGAAAAAACAAATAAAATGCCGTGATTTTTTACAAAATGGCGCCGGATACCATTCCTTAGTCTTCGGAATCTTCTAAACTAAAATAAAATATTAAAAAGAATAAGTCTACTCAGAAACTTTTTGTTAGTCTAGCTCAGGAAAAATATAAAAATATTTAAAAATACCAACTTTTGAATTACACTGTTGGTGCATATGTCTTTGCAGGAACTGCATTGCAGTGTACATGAAAGACCAATTCTTTTGCATTTACACCGACTACTGCTACATCCAGTTTTACAGGAGCATTTAGCTAGCTCTTGGCATGTCTACCATACATTTGTAAGAGCAGACCATAGAGGAGTCTACTTTGAATTCTTTTCATCCCAGCTCCATACCTTAGGTGATGGCGTTACGTCATCCATATCGTAAGAACAACCCCAGACTTGACCAGCTTGGTAAGCAGCCCTTAGGATATGTTGATACAGTGCTGCAGAAATCGGAGGTATCAAATGAATTGGCTTGTTTTGAGAACAAAATAATTATTTTCTTGTGGTGTCAGTGTTGGTTGCAGTGCTAAGTGGATTGTACGTCTGAACAGTGAAGCTAGCAAGAACTTTGACGACATCGTCCGGAATGGAAGAGAGTGATGGGCTTAAAATCGCTTGAAAAGCTTTGGTTGCCTTATCGCTCTGCGAATTCCATGGTTTCCAGGCAGACTTTTTTCCTTTGTGAGAAAAGACAGACACCGTGTCACATCCTGTAAAAGTATGAAACCCAGGAAGAGCGCTAGCCTTGTCGCCAAGAGCATCTAAAGTATGATTTTTTAGGCCAAGTGTTCTGCCATCAGCTTCTTCTTTAGTACTACATTTTACACCATTAAGAGATGAGTTTGCCTTTGCTGATGAGTAAATTATGTCACGTATATTTGATACATACTCGTATACTATTTTGCTTTCTACTGCAATAAAAATGAAGAGATCAATTTTGTTTAATGTGTTTTTTAAGAAAGTTTGGTGGAAGTCTAATAAGGCCGGTTACTTGGCAGCGAATTCCATGTCCTCGTTATTCACGGACAGTATTTTTAAAGCTATCAATCACATATTGATCCCAAACAATATCAATGCGCAATACTCCCAATTTTGCGGCATCTTTTTCAAAATAAGATTTAAGCTCCAGTTCAAAATATTCTTGAAATGTTTTGCTATAATGGGGCATGACAAAGTGTACAAGAGCTGCACCATCGTAACAATACCATCGCATGATTCTGGATCAGGTATCGCTTGGTACTATAGTTCTACAACAGAAAAAAATATAGATATGTAAAACTTAAACATAATACGCGTAATTAATTATGTACCTTCAAGTATATTGGTGAGCTCACTTTTTTGCCCCCGGCGTAATTCTCCATTTTGAGACAGAGATGGCAGGCATTGTTGGTTTTCATGCTGAAAGAACACATTTAAATCCAGTTTACGGGAAAGGCTTTCAATAAATAATAATCTTGAAAATAGCTGATAGTCCAGTTTAAGTTACTGGATTGTACATTTCACTAGAGATTTGTTTACCGTATTTTTGGATGCAAAAATTGACAAAGAATTTTTTTAATTTTTTTCATACAATGGAACAAGTCAAGTCGTTGTTGTACTGAGTGTTTTGAATTATTGGGACCCACGGATAGAGTAAATTTGTAACAATAGGGTAGACGCACCATTTGTGGCCATTGACCCTGTTGTAGCCACTTCTTTAAATCTTAAAAATTAAGTTTTTTCACGTCATTGTGACAACCGTGCATATATAATTTACTAAATTGATATATCCAGCGCTATATGCAATAGAAAATATTCAAATTTGGTGTAAAAGTCGGCTGTGAGACCAAAAAGTAGTAGCACATATTTGCTAGATGCTGTTTTCTTAACCCATTTCTTAAGGATAGCTAGATCAGTAGAACTCAAATTATTAACAATAATCTGTATTGGGGTTTAATTTTCCGTGATTTTTATAAATATTATACATCTGGCAACTATTTTTTAAATTTATTATATTCAAATAATTAATATTTAGGATTTATTTGTGTGGCCACAAAAGGTGTAATTAAATGTTAATTATGTTCTACTTGTAGCCAGGTTATGGCCAAAAATGGTGCAATCGAAATCTAGTTGTGGCCACATATTATTTAGCTTTATAATGTAAGTGCAAACGACGGAGAACATAATATGAAGAACATTTTATTTGTTATTATTCAGCTTTTAATAAAAACTGAATAATAGTACCTAAATATAATAATATCCCAAATACAATTATCGGCCAAGATTACCAATCTGAACATATACCGTCCCAATAAGTTTTCCTTCAGATGAGAAAATGAAATATAGATTTAGAACTAAATGGAATAAATATGAATGAATGCAATGAAAATAAAAATTATGAGAATTCAAAGAAAGATGATTCAGGACCACTAGACGAAACCATGCAGGAAAAGGACTAGTAGACATAATTATGAACTAGGATGATGCCCGGGAAGATGTTAATCTTTAAAAAGAAAGAGGCTACATCTACCATCAGTCATTACCTATGATAAGTGGATTGAATTAATGAAGGGAAAGGAGAAAAAAACACAAACTGAAAATGAAAACTTTGCAAAAAAGAAAACAATTAAAATAAAATTTAAGGAAAATAAAGATCTTTCTAGTAGAAATAAAAAAGAGACACCAACGCCAGCTTAAACTTATGTGACATCTGCTGAATTAAATATAGGAAATTTTATTATTAATACGGGAATCAGTTGAATCCAGGAAAAATATTACAAATCGAAAATAATGAATATTATAGCTGAGCAATGGTTCAAATCTGCGGCAATTGGAAGTAAAAATGACTCGCTTTAGTACAAACTGAGTGTTATAACAATGAAAATTGATGAATCTAAAAAAGTCAATTCAAGAGATATATGTGGTTACCTCAACTAACAAATATTCAAGAATATTCTGATAAATTAGTGAACTTATTGTTCCTCACAGTAGTATTAATATGTACCTAATTTTTATTTAACATTTGTATAACAGATAAAAAGCAAATTAAGGTATTAGGTATCACTTGATTTGTTTTAAGAATAAACGTTCATGTTTTTTTTTTTTTGTTAAAAATATAAACAATTAGGTACCAAATGTCTCTTTTTATGTCTTTTTTTTTAAAGAAATTAATAAATAAAAAAAAATGTTATTTGCTTAGTTACTGCAAAATTCAATATAGAGAATATTTTTGCAAGAATGTGGCCACAAATGGTAGCAAATGTGGCCACATTTGGCACAAGGTGGCCACAAATGGGAAAAATCGTATATTTTCATAAAATAACAGAAAATAACTATTTATTAAGAATACAAATCTTTACAATAAAAGCAGATTTTGAAAGAAAAATGTTTGGAGAAGCACCAAAAATTTTGTTTTATCTCCAAAATCAACTACAAATATTTTTTCTGATAAGTCAAACTCTAGAAATCCCTTAACCTGGCCACAACCGGTGCTTCTACCCTACTTAATGTACAAGGTTTATATTTTATATGGAAATTTAATATGTTTTCTTCGGATTTTTTTGTTTGGGGGGGGGGGAGGCAGGTGGGGAAAGAGGGGGCGGAAGGGGGTCTTCTCACAATTACTTTCTTGGTGCGCTGCTGCTTGTAATACATTTTTGATTTGAACTAAAACTTATATCTCGCGCGTAGGTGATAGAGAATTAGCTCGCAACTACTAATTAATACAGAACTAAATTCCGCCATTTTGAATTTTATATACTTAGTGTAGTATTAATCCTATTATTATTAGCATTTATTTTAAATTTAATCGATTAAAAAACTTAAAAAAAACAGTAATTCTTAAAAAACGCCGCCATTTTAAATTTGCCTCCACTTGCTTCTATCATTATTTGAAACGTTTTTCGTGTATTTGTGTTCTACCGCTACGACTAATACAGATCACCTTCATTACGTACAAAGAATTGTACTTCCTTGTCTAATGTGCACGAATAGAAAAAGGCAAACATCGTATTTGTATTACCCGCCGAAATCGAACAAAACGAATCACCGACTGTCAAAGTTGTCGTTAAATTTTAAAGACTCCGATAGTTTCCCGTAAATTTTTGTGGGATTTTCTATGTTTATTTAGTTATTTATGATTTAATTTGTGTTTAAACTGCCGATGCCGTCCCGTTTTAGTGAAAAAGAACAACGGCTCATATTAAAAGTTATCGAGTATTTGAAACTCGAAAAAGATGCTGGAAAACCCCTTTTACCTGTGTCGGCGGTTTACGGTGTAATTGGACAACTACAGAGTTAATATTTTGTAACTAAATCGAAAATATTCACGTGTTTTATAGAGAGCATCGGAGGCTTTAGGAATTAAAGAATACGTTCCAGAGGAATCGTAAAAGATAAAGAACAAAAAGCAGCAAAACCAGTCACAACATTCGTTTGTCCCGTGGAATTCCTGCTTATAAGATCCATGAACATATTATTAGAGGACGTATTTATTCATTGTATACTGCGGGTAGGCTAAAATAAATTTGTCATTGTTTAATATTTTGTTATTAAATTTGTTATTGTTAGTTTACAACCAGAGATATAAACAACTCATGGACCAAGTCAGGAAATACGTGAAAACCAATATGGCGCCGAAAATGATGACGAAAGTTCGCAAATTGAATAGTAGTTTTTAGTTCGGTTTTTACAATGTCTTATTTTTTTAAATATCTTTGTAAGTATCTCTTACGGCTTCTGATATGCCACTGGTATCTTCCAATTTGGGACAAATTGTATTGTTTTTCTTTTATATTCTAGAACTTAATTAATTGTTTTTATTCTAGAATTGATTTTGACAAACTTCACGTAACTCTCTTCATGAACGCCAAACGTGCAGCTCTAATTGGAAAGTACGAAGTAGATGGACAAATTCTGGTACTACCGATTCAAGGCAATGGGAATTTGAATATTACTATTGGTAAGGAAATAATATGATTACAATTATTGTTATATATATGTAGTATATGACCTAAATTAGGATTTTTTGACGTATTCAATTGTTTTCGGTCACTTCCTGTTTCACCGGAAATGACTACAACTTTTGATTTTTAAATGGCACACTCTGTATTTTTTTAGTTTATTCGATAGAAAATGGTAACGAGGGTGGCTCATTAGCATATTTGGAAAAAAGCATTTTTTAACGAATAATTTGATATCACACACTTGGTATTTCGAGTCAAAATGTAGTTATGGTTTGCTATAATTCCGTATATGATAATTTCAAATAAATCATATGCAAAAATGTCAAAAGTAGACATGTGATATGCTATTCTATTCAAAGTGTCATTTTCTATCGAATAAATTAAAAAAACACCGAGGGTGCTATTTAAAAATAAAAAATTGTAGTAATTTCCAGTAAAACAGGAAATGACCAAAAACAATTGAATACATCAATCAATCCTGATTTATGTCATACACTAACAGTCCAAATCTAGTTTTTTTTATCCGAAAAGATAAAAAAGTTATAGGGGTGTACCACTTTTGAGACGTGCCCGGTATAGAGTGTTCCATTAAAAAAATATAAAAATTGGTGAATATCACAAAAATGGAATAGAATAAAAAAAATCTAATCAGGGTCATTGTCATAAAAATGGGACGTACAGTACATAGGTTATAATGTTTTTAAATCTAAAGATTGCTGAAAATCTTCACAAAAACATGAAGGGAACGACCTTGTCATTAAAATTAATTAGTAAAAGTATGTTTAACACGCGCCAAACAGGTACAAATTCATGATTATTTTTGGTACTGTCTGAAGGTCGCAGTAAAAAATCGCACACTATGAAGTAATGGAAGAAAGTTGGAATAAGAAACATTTTAATCATTCATCAGGCAATTCATTCATATAAAAAATTTGAATTGTTAATTCTATGCATTGTCAATAGTGGTATGTATCTAAACGTTCAAACATTTTACATCAGCATTTCTGCTGGAGAATATTAATTTTAGTTATTTTATAAAATAAAACGGAAAGCAGTAATGCATCTCAAAAAAGTATAGTTTTCTTGCCACTGGAAGAGATATCTACAAAATAAAAAGATATTTTTTTAAGTAATCTAAGTAAACAACACTACAATGAATCCAAACAGAAACCATCAGTGACATTTGAACTGATAAAACAATTTCCATTCGTTAGAGGCAGAAGGACCCCCAAGAAAGAAAACTATTTGAACTATTTTTAATAACACTTAAAAAAAACATTTTTATTTTAAATTCAGACTTTTTTCTAGATATAAACCTGCCACGAGGGTATGGACAGTAATGTGGTGGTCATAAATAAATTTAGTAACTAGAGTTTATGTTTACAATTCAGTTTCGATACATAGAGTGTTGCTAAAATGACATTCCTAAATTATTCTAAATTCCATTTAGATCAAAAGGTAGAAGAAAGTAAGCTGCGGTATTTGACATCATAGATTGATATATACCGGGTGCGTCTCAAAAGTATATCATTCACCACTATATCATTTTTATTTTTTCAGATAACAAAACGAGATTTGGTATGTTAGTATACGATATAAATTAGGATTGATAGACGTATTCAATTGTTTTTGGTTACTTCCTGTTTTACTAGAAACTTACTTTGACACTTGTCTCTGAATTTTGAAACAAAACAAAAATGAGTCTTAGAAATGTATTGGATTTGTCGCAATTTTGTCGTAAAACATGAATGTTTCTGTCTTGTCGTTGTTTTTTCTGTTTGGTCTGGACCCGGCGTAATGTTTTTCGTGTCTTGTCCTGGCCGGTTAAAAGATGCTCAAATGGTATTTTTAATCATATCTCAATGTTTTCAAATAGAACGAGGGTGACTCATTAACATATTTGTAAAAATATTTTTTTTACCACACACGAGTGGTATTTCGAGTCAAATTGTCGTTAACATTCATGGCACTCTAAATTTAAATTTAAAATGCAATTTTTTTAATTAAAAATATCAAAAGTTATATGCCATATCATTTTATTCAGCCATAGTTATAGCCATTTTCGGTTCAACAAAAAGTGACCAAAAGCAATTGAATACGTCAGTCAATCCTAATTTATGTCATATACTAACATACCAAATCTCGTTTTGTTATCTGAAAAAATAAAAAGAAATTATAGGGGTGAAACGCACCCGGTATAAACAAGTTTGGCGCATCCGCCACGACATCGACATCAGGAAAAAAAATTCTTTTTATTTTTATTTTAAATTAAATAAAAAACATAAAATCCGGCGACGACAGTTTTTAGAAGAGCCAATTAGCTATCTTTTAGTAAAAAAGCAACTTTCTAGAGCAAGTCCTTACTTCAGTAGAGACGACACAGATAAACATTAACATTTTATATAATGTAGACTAGTTAAAGCTTGGCGCATCCGCCACGACATCAGGAAAAAAAAAATTGTTATTTTTTTTAATTAAATGAAAAACAAAAAATCCGGCGACGGCAGTTTTTAGAAGAGCCAATTAGCTATCTTTTAGTAAAAAAGCAACTTTCTAGAGCAAGTCGTTACTTCAGTAGAGACGACACAGATAAACATTAGCATTTTATATATGTAGATACCAAATTATCAATCATTTACTTTGGATATAGGTTATATATCCAAGGTTGACAATTGGTTATCGAATTGGATTAACATTAACAATATATTTCAGAAAACTCGGATTTCCAGTATGATTTTAATTACAAGTTAGTGAAGAAGAATGATGTTGACTATGCCCAAGTGTTACCAGAAGATACTTTGGAGTTTCAAATTCCTATGGCATATATACAACTAGACAATCTGTTTAATGGAAATAAACAATTGGGTGAGATTTAAATCGATTTTTCTAATATAGCCTAATATTATAATTTAATTCAATATGAAGTTGTCTTGTAGTTTTTCATTAGATATAATAGTAAAGAGAAAAATATTATACAAAGGTTTAATACAAGGGGGGTCTGTGTTAGAAAATAATCATTTTTTGTTTGTTTATTCGGATTTTCTCTTATTTGTATTTTCCACATTTCTGTTCTCAATTTATATTACTATCAGTCCTATTTAAAGTATAATTTAAAATAAGTTATTTATTGTTAGTAGAGAATTGTTATATTATTTTTACAGAATTAGGAGTATTATCATTGTTAGTCATTTTTTATTAAATATTATACAATGACAAAGCACATATCGATAAATAAAATTGTACCAAGCTTCCTACTAATGAATGCGTTTAATGTATTACCAATTATTCCTTTTGTAACTGTAACTTTTTTCAAAAAATCAGTGGCATTGAATGAAATGTGTAATTAAAAATAATAGCGAAAAAACTTAAATTACTTTACGTATAGTAGCTATTATGCGAGACAAATATTTCACACCATCTAGAGGTTAGCATATAATTTTAAATTATTTATTAATTAATTACTGATTATTAAAGTAAAGTGAATGCATTTTTCAAACGAGCTTATGAAATAGATATTCTATAGTTTCAATATTTCCCAGTACTACTATATGGGATATTCTATAAATTTAAATGCTATAGCCAAAATTTCATAATCTAATATCTATCTAAAAAAAGAATACCTACTATGTGTAGAATCTTCTATTTTCAGGCCCAATTTTTAAAATTACCAATGGAAGTCGCTTTTAAAATTAAAAAAAATGTAGTTGTATTACACTTTTTTAAAGTGCTAATCTTTTTTGAAAAAGGCGATAATAATTAGGTTTCTCTTAAGGCTGCCCTTCCCTAGACAAACTATAACACCTGCGGGGAATCCGAAGAGACGAGGTAGCTTTTAAACTAACAGAAGGCGGTGCATCGGCTACTTGCACTTATGAATCTCTCGATAAATCCAGGGTCAACGGTGCCCAAAATCCTAACGGTGGACCATATTTTAAGGAAAAATTATTTTGCTCGTAGATATTATTTAATATGTGTTAAAATTACAAAGTCAATACAAAATATAAAAAAAATAACAATTATTAGTGCATAGGAAATGGTTTATACAGGGTGTTACAATATTAACCCACATAAAAAATCATATTTTCGCAGATTCAGGTCAAAGTCACACCTCAACTAGTTTCCAAAAAATGTATGAGCCTAGAAGCATCATAATATGTAAAAAAATGTTATACAGGGTGTCTCAAGTCAAAAGTAATGAACTTTTTATAAAACTATTTTTTCTTAAAAATCGATTTTTAAGACTTTTGAGACAATTGCATAAAAATATGATAAGAGCTGTAGCTTCATTTTATTTGTAATTATTTTGAAAATGCAATATTTTATCAACTTACTTTGTAACTTATTGAAAAATATATATTTTTTATTTATTTATTAATATCTCTGAAACTATCCAAATATATTTACATCTTATCTTAGGATTATGTAAAGTGATCAGAAAGGAAGCCAAAAATGCAACAATATACAGAGTGTTCCATTTAAAAAAATTATCCCGGTCCACTCACACTTTTTTGAGCCACCCTATAGAAGTTAAAATATTTTCCTGAATTACATCCTCGTACATACTTTAGGTTTGCAAACTTTTCTTTAACAAAAATGACTCTAATACAAATATGGAAAAATATTATTAAAATGTGAAAGAGCACAAAAACAGTAAAAACTTACCCCTATCATCTACATTCATCATAAAAAAAATATTTGTAATATATACGTTTTAAAAAAATTACAAAATTGAGACACTTCTGCTGCGATATAATAGCATTTTATTAGTTACGACAATTCCATTATTCATTTGCTTTTGTTTTGTGATGCTCCAAAGCCTACTTGTAAAATAACAAGATTTATGAAATGGTAATATATTTTTTTTGGAGATAATCAATGTTTTTAGTGACCCTGGCCCTCTGTTGTTTCCTGTGTGGTCACCCTTGGGGGATTAAACACGAAATTATTTTCAAAGATGAAGTTTTTTGGAAAAGAAACTAAAAAACAGCTTACGGAATTCTACATAAAATGTCTTTTGACCGAATTGGTGGATCCTAGAAAATCTAGAAATATGCCTATTAGAAATATCTCTGTTAAAAGTTAATCGTAATCGTCCATTTTTTAAACAATATTATTATCTAATATAATAAATGTTTATATGCATTATTATTGCCCATATGTATGTCCATTGACTTCGTATATGTAGTACATACTTTTTGAGTAAAGATGTCATCTTAGTACATCTCAATGTTTTTTATTTTATTTTGGTGTGTTTTTTTTGAACGAATTATTTTTTGTTTGTAGAGTACTACTATTATGGCACTTTAACTATCACTAGTATAATACATAGTAGTATAATTTTTATCACTTAACAATATTAATTTTTTAAACAATTTAAAAATAATAGAGCAAAGTAAGAATAGGTAGTAACAAAATTATTATATCATGTAATCTCTGTATCATGTATCACGTATCATGTACTATCTCTTTATGTAATGCGATATAACGATTTTACTCTAATTTTTGCTTATTGAAGTCGCGCCGCGCGCCGGCGCAGGTCCAAGTTACTGTGGACTTCCATTACTTCACAGTGGTCAAACCATCTTATTAATTATTTATTGTTTTATGTTTTGTTACCTTGCATCATGATCAATGACCATACACACACAATAGATGCAACGCAAATTTTGTTTGCCGTGTGATTTAATTACAAAATAAAAATTTCAAATTATTGTGTAAGAGACAAGCGTTATAAAATAATTTATTCAAATAATTCGAATACGTACCTGGTTTCCTTTGCCCGCCTTCAAAAGCGTCAGCAACAAAATTCACGTGAGTGCGCCACATTACGGGCAACAAAAATGATCAAAATTGGGTTTGCAGAGGGTCGGACGTCACAAAATTGCGACCATGTTTTTTAATATTTTGTAATAATTTTTGTTTCACTTTATTAAGGAAGCTTCCGGACATGCTCGTAATTAATTTTAAAATCGATTTGAATACATTTAATGCTAAAAAAATTACTTATAAAATCAGCTTTTTTTAGGGCGTTTTAGGGGTAAATTTGAAATAGTTTGAGTTGAGTTTGGGGAAGGAAATATAATAATAAGCACGTCTTAAGGTGTATACAAACAAATAAAAAAAGATTCGTGTAGAAAGGTCACATGGTTTTTGCAGCATTTTGTGACAACCCTTACAAATGCTAGGCTAGCGCCAGTGGGAAGGAGAGCCTTAACGCATTTATCATTTTTTTATGAAAAAAACATCTTTATTAATTTACACCCTCTATTTATATGTCTAATGTTTATTAAATCATAATGTTATATTATTAATATAAAAATTATTCTCCAAAATGGTTGTTCTAGGTGACCATGTTAACAAGTTTTTGAACGAAAATCACCAGGATGCTATTAAAGAAATGTCAGGTGCTATCAAGGTAACAATTTCAGCTATAGGCAGACAGTTTTTTCAAGGAATTTTTGACAGCATACCATACAAGGACTTATTCCTGGATTAGTACATATTTGTTAGTGTAATTTACTTGTTTGTTAATTTCAAAAATATGAATAAATGTCATATATTTATATAAATTATATAAAAATATAATTTTTTTTCAAAAGAAATTTTAAAAGATGATGCTAGATCGTGCAACATTAAAAATATATCAAAGTTTGAAGCATATTTTTTTTATTAAATCCCCCCGTATGAAGGTTTCTAACGTATTAGTATTTTTTTTATTAAAAATTAAGGTCTCATGTAGAATATATCATATATCGACTTATTAAAATATGATTAAAACTATATCAGAATATCAAGGGTTTTAACCTCGGTTTTAACAGACGTCTCAGGTTCTAAAAAATAAAGTGCTTACGAAATAATTACAGACTTTTAAATATTTTCTTATTCTTTTTTCCTTGTTTCTGACGAGGGGGAAAGATATATCTATTTTCTAAAACATTTAGCATTTTTTGTTGGCTGCGAAAAATGTTTTTTTTATGAGTACATAAAAGTATTAATTTTTGCGACGTGATTGACAATATAAAAAAGTAATTTTAACTCCTATAGGCATAAAAGTAAAGCACTTTTAAGCCTAAGCACAAAAGTACGAAAATATATTATTAACTGACATATTTCTGGATATATAATTACTTAAAAGGTAAAAAATGTCTATACCTATGAATGCGATAAATTTTACATTGCTGAAACATCTAGACCCTTAAATGTTATGAATTAAAGAACATAAAGATTATTTAAGAAAGAGAGATTTTCACAAATCTAAGATTTGTCAGCATTCATGGGACACAGGGCACAGAATAAATTTTAATAACGCCATAATTATAATAAAAGAAGCGATAGCCTCTAAAGGAAAAATAAAAGAGGCTTTTTTAATTCAATCTAATAAAGATAAATGTATTGCTCATGCATATGTAGATGTTAGTAATGTATGGCAATCGCTTCTTTGATTTAAGAACATAAAATAAATAAACATAACATACGTAAAATTTAAAAATAATCATACAGAAAGTTTGGGGCTTTTTGGTTTTACCTTATTAAGTAATTGTTATCAGGTAGTAATTGTTAATTTTGAAGTTTAACTTGATATAATGTCATTTAACCAGAACGTCAACGGTTTCTTGTAGATGTATCTGTTTTTAAAAAAGTAAAGTGTTCTCGAATAGTTTGAATTAAAATATTTTAAATAGTTTTTTTCTTTATTCTTTGTATTTTTTTGCTTCCGACGACGTAAAGAGATAACTTTCCGAAACGTTAAGCATTTTTTTCTTTGTTAGCCAAATTTGTATTACTGTAAACATAACTTCTGACAAGCAGCGTCCGTTTAGGTTTAACGCCCGGAAGTGTTTACAAAAAATAACTATTTTATTTTGTAGATTTTCTTGTAGTGCAGTGGCGAAATACCCATAAAAGATTTTTTTGGAGGTACTTAAAAGGTATTACTTTTAAATCTTTTATATTATTTGGAACGTTTGAAAGCAGTTTCAGCAAAAAATTATTTGTGAGTGTTTGAAAAAAAAATAGCATGTTCTATTCCGAGTAAAAATGACTCTTTGAGCCTCGCCTATATGTCGCCCAAACGGGCAACCTCGCCACAAAAAGTATAATATCTACTCCTAATAAAACAATATACGATTACTATTAGATAGTGGTAAAATGTTCATAATTTAATTTCAAAACTAATATTATGGTAATCTTTATTACTCATATCTTGATAACATTATGGATAACATTATGTGTATAAACATTTACAAAAAGCAGAACTATTTGAATAATTTTTTTGAAAAAAATAGTAAAAAGTTTGTTAAGTTAACATCCCCTTCTTTGTAACTAGGATTAATCTGGATGGTTATAGAAAATATAGCATCAGCTTGAAAATTTGAGATAAAATATGTGACATTCACATACAGTATACCGAGTGTTTTCAAAAGAAACTCATCCCTATAACTTTTTTATTCTATAAAAGAAAATAAATAAAACGAGATTTGGTATGTTACCCAAGTAGCAAATTTTATTTTATAAAGGCTGGGGGTATAAACAGCTATGTGATAATTTTTATAGGATATCTCCATTTATATACCGTGCTATAAGAACGTAATATGATAGCTTTACAACCAAAAAAGGCCCATTTTTATACAACCGTTTAGTAGTATAGCAGTTGTATAAAAAAGGTATATAACTCTTATGTAACTATTTTACACAGCGTCATATAACTATTATAAAACTAGTTTTATTGTGTATTACGTGGTCACATCTAAGAAACAGAACAATAAAAACATTTGATCATTTAGCGAGGTAAAAGAGTATTTTATATTTTACCGAAGAATATTAGGAGCAAATTATATTTTAAGCGTGTCGTAAAATGAATCTAGAGGATGTGGATTGTTAAAAAGGAGACTTTACTTGACAATGAAAATGGCGAGTAGAGCCAGAAGGTACAACAAATATGTAATATAAAAAATCATTAATAGGGTTTGAAAAGTAGGGACAATTTTTGTTGCGCCGAAAATTTTACTGGTAGATTATAGGAATGTATTTGGCAAAAAATTACAGCGCTTTAATTTCGATTAAGGTTTACGTATAAATTTAAACAATAAAATAAAATAAAATTTTCAAGAATTCTTGTTTTTAATTTAATTAAACACTTTATTACTGTATGTGGGAATCTTATCACAAAATAGTTCTCAAAAATAACATTTTAAAATTTATTTTGATGTTTTTAATTTTGCTTCATATAATGGCGCCCATAGGCCATACAAAAATTCTGCCTTAAACATGGCGAATTATAATGCAACTATTTTTTTATAAATGAATCCCTTAAATAAGTCTTTGTTGTAAAATAAAACGGTATAGGATAAATATCTATCATTACGCAGAATTTCCAGGCACTATAGAACTATTTTGGACATATTCAGATTTGTGACAAATAAATGTTGCCAAATCTCATTTGATTATTATTTAAACTAACAAACATGATCAGATTTTCATAGATTCATGCACGCAATGCATTTCATGCATGCCCGACGAGTGAGTGGCAACCTAAGGACTTGGAAAAACAATAATAAAACAATACAAACATTACTACAGTAAAACTTTTACATCAACGTGGCAACAATGTTTTGGAGAAGCCAGACAACCCGAGATATTTTGGCTTTTGAGAACCCAGGGAATTTTCGGGATTATTTGCCGTAATTTCGAGGAGTTTTTTCTTACATGCTCTTTATAACTACCACTGCGTTTGTTAACTTTTTTCCAACTTTGTCAAGTATTCATAATAACTGTGATTGATTAAACTCGTACGTAGATATTACTTTTGCAACAACAACAATAAGAAAATAAATAACTAGGTATACCATTTAATATAAAATGAGGTTATATTATACATTGTCAGTTCTATAATACAGATATTACAGCGAATTTATTTTGTTAATCACAATTTTATCATATAAGGCTATAACAGTACGTCTGCTGGATCTGTGTCTATGAAAGGAATGCGGACAAAAAAACATTTAAATAAACAACAATATATTTTATACGTCGACTTGACGAGTACGTCCCCGCAAATCGCTCCGCCCACTCATTTTATTGTCTACTTGCAAATTTGTGGAATTTTTATTGATGGGACGCGTCGTCTAATTTTTTACGAAAAACATGGAGAGAATATCGTTTCCTCGCTCACGGATACTCCGTAGCTACAGAACGAACAGACGTACTGTAACTGGTGTTGTATACAGCACTATAGTTTAACGCAATAAAACATTCTATCATACAACGTAATACAACTTTAATAAGACAAGTTTACGTAACTGTTATATGATCTTGTGACTACTAGTTATATGAATATTATAGAACTCTTACATGGTGGGTATAAGAGTCTAATAAAATAATATGTTTGTTATCATATAGCATTGTTTTATTAAGTGTTATATCATACTAAAAGAAATTATCGTTTAATGCGTTATAGGATACGTTGTAAAAACTATTAGAAAATAGTTTAATATGACAACTTTTATTAAAAAGCAGAATGGTCGAAACCAAACGCTTAATAAAATCAAGCAGTCCTTAAGACAACGCTATTCGACTGTTATAAAATAATTCAATTCCTTTAGAATTTCTTTTTGCTACTTGGGTAGTGTATGACCCTAAATCAGAATTGACTGACGTATTCAATTATTCCCAGTGCCCTCCTGTTTTACCGAAAATAACTACAATTTTTTAGTTTTCAATGGTACTCATCTTAAAAAAATAGTATTTTAAATTTAAATTTACAATGACTCAATAATTTCCTGTGAAACGGAAAGTGACGGAAACTAATTGAATAAGTCAATCAATCCTGATTTTTGTCACATATTTTGATACTATAGTCTGTCCAACGACCAGATCATTGACAGTGATAGATGTGTCTGTCATTTTAATTTCAAAGTAGTTTATTTTTTTACAAAGAAATAAGTTGGTACAACTGGAACGCATAGCAGGCAATTAATATATTTAAAATTTGACTGATAAGTCATTACTTCAAAATATTGTGAAAAAAAACTCTATACGTATTTAACAAAAACGGTATGTGTTAAAACACCACTTACCAAAAAAATATTAAAAAGAACTATTTCTTACTTTCAAGCTTCACGCATTTATGATTATATTTATCAATATAACTTATGTAGAAATACAAATTTGTAATATTCCACAGGAATAAATAAAACAACATAAATAAATCAAACTATTTTATTAATAATAACACTTACCAAATTTTATACCTTAAAGGTTGATTAATTAACTTTAATCTTATTTTTTATAAACCAGTAATAAATAATAATAATAAATAATGTTTATTCAAACTGATCCAATTACAAAGTATATACAAGACTTATACATAACTTACGAATACAAAATAGTGAATAAACATAATATCCTCTTAAGGTAGAACCTTTACCTTTTGACATTATTTAGTTTACATTTACCCAGTACCTTTTGACATTATTGTTCTGCAGTACTAAAATCCATTATTTACCTATCGTGTGATGTCGATATTTTACAGCTAGTCAAGTAGTATATGTTTAGTACGATCCTTGTAGCATATACGAGATGCACTTATCTACGACGAGATGGTATACACACTTTAT